GCCAATTTAATGATAATGTGTTGTAGTGTAGCCTTATTCAGGTTCAACCTCTTTGAGGTCCTTTGTGACTCACAGATCTGGATGTCCATTTCTCTCCCCAGGTTTGGGAAGTTTTTGACCATTACTGCTTTAAATATAATTCCTGTCCCTTTCTCTTTTCCTTCTGAAATTTCCTTCTGCCATCATGCAGATATTGTTTCTTTTGATGGTGTCCCATAATTCCTGAAGGTCTTTTTCATTCCTTCCCCCCTCCCAACTCAATAATTTCAATGTCTTGCCTTCTAGATCACTGATTATTCTGCGTGGTCAAGTCTGCTTATGAACCTCTCAATTTAATTGCTCAGTTCAGTTATAGTATTTTCCTGCTCTAAGATTTCTGGATTTTTAAAAAAATTTATTTATTTATGTTTGGCTGCCTTGGGTCTTCGTTGCTGCACGTGGGCTTTCTTTAGTTGCATTGAGTGGGGGCTACTCTTTGTTGAGGTGTGCAGGCTTCTCATTACAGTGGCTTCTCTTGTTGTGGAGCATGGCCTCTAGGTGCACAGGCTTCAGCAATTGTGGCTCGTGGACTCTAGAGCGAAGGCTCAGTAGTTGTGGTGTGTGGGCTTAATTGCTCCGCGGCATGTGGGATCTTCCCAGACCAGGGGTCAAACCCATGTCCTCTGCATTGGCAGGCGGATTCTTAGCCACTGCACCACCAGGGAAGCCCTGGATTGTTTTTAGTGGTTTTCATGTCTTTGTTGAACTTATTTGTTCATGCATTGTTTTCCTAACTTGGTTTAGCTGTCTGTGTGTTTTTGTAGTTCACTGAACTGCTTTGAGGGTTAATTTGAATTATTTGTCTGATTGTTCCCAGATCTTCATTTCTTTAGGGTTAACTTTTGGATCAATAGTATTAGTTTCCTTTGGTGGTGTCATGTTTACCTCCTTTTATGTGATCCTTGATTCCTTACATTAGAATCTGTGCATTTGAGTAAGTGGTCCTCTCTTCCAGACTTTACAGGTTCCCACTGTCAGAGAAAAGTTAATCACCGGTCAGCTCAGTCTGGGCTGCTGGGCATGTCTGCTGGTGATATTCTTGGGCAGATGGTGCTTGCTATCTTGGTATATTTTTGGGTGTGACCGCTGCCAAGTTCTGAGGTTCAAGGGGTGGGTGCCACTGGCTGAAAACAGTTGCATAAAACTGCTGGCTTGATTCTCTGCTCAAGTGAGGCTAGAGGATGGGCTCTGCAGTTACCTGAGTTCTCTGGTCAGGCTTACTAGGCAGTCAGGATTGGGTACTATACACAGCAAAGGTGGACCTATGAATTAGCTTCCCTGCTCCGGCAGGATAGCAGGACTGATCTCAGGGCCTGCACAGCTTGTTTTCCGGAGACCCGAATCAGGTGACTATGTACTGAATTCCCTGGTCAGGTGGGGCCAATGGTTTTATTCTGCAAAAACCATGGGATGTGCTGTGTCAAGCTCTACAGCAAGCATGGCTGTTGGATGGGCTCTACAGCTTCCGTGTGCTCTAGTTAGGTTCCCTATGGGTAGGCTGAAGGCTGTATTCAGGAATTGGTGGGGCTGCAAATGTTCCCCTGTTGGGGCACAGTGGGAGACCCAACCGCAAGGCCAGTAAGGCTCTTTGCGGTCTTGACTCAAGTCATCCTGTGCCCCAAGTTCTCTGGCTGAACAAGGCCACTGGATTGCTCTACAGACTATCAACTCTGCCTACTGATCCTCTACTTGTGCTGCTGGGCTGTGCAGCTTCCAGGCATTCATGCCAGCCTTTCTGGTTAGGCAGGGCCAAGAGCTACACCCAACCTGCCAGCTGGCCTGTGGCTAAGCCCCCCTGCCTGGATTGGGGCAGAACAGGTTCCACAACTACTGAGGCTCTTCATTTGGGGGCCTGAATCAGATAGACATGTACCTGCCAAGTTCCTGGTCACATTGCTCCACTGACTTGGTTCTGCAGATAAGCAAAGCTGCTCTTGGCACTTGGGCACTGCAGGTATGAACTCAATCTCTCAAGATCTGAATGCTGGTGATTTTAAGCCTCTCCGCCTTCTCCATCACAGTCAGATTCCCAGTGGTCAACCCCTGAAGATTCTCCTGCACCCTCCATTGAAGACCAGAATAGCAGCTCCCACAAAGCAACCCACAGTGCTGGGTGTCACCTGGCCTCTTTTTTTTCCACGACAGGCTCACAGCAAGGGGGTGCGCCAGCCTGCGGGGGGGGGGGGGGGGGGGGGGGGGGGGGGGACAGTGCAGTCAGTGTGTATCCACTCCTCTTAACCATCTAATGTGGTCTGTCTTGGTCTCTGTGGCACTGGGAGATGCTTAAGCCTCATCTCCATGGCCTGGAATTCCCTCAGTGGCAGCTTGTCCATGAATAGTTGTTAGCTGGCCTTCTTGTGAGAGGGAGCAAAGTCAGGAACAACCTATGTTGCTACCTTGGTGACATCACTCTCTCTAAAATACCTTAGTATATGCGGAATGAGTCAGGATTTGTATTACAGCAGTGGTTTTCAAAGTGTGGTCCCTGAAGCAGCCATAAGTATTTTTACAGTATTTAAAAACGTATGTGGTCAGTACCTTGCTTGAAAACTAGCTTAACAATAATGACATCTCTGGCTTTTATCCTAAAAATACTAGAAGGTAAACCTAGTTTATGGTTTCTCAATTTTGGGAGTTAGAATAACCAGTTATCACAAATATATTTTCATACCAGCAGCAAAGCCAAAGCAGCCCTCTCACACTAAAATGAAAAGCAAGGCATAAAATAGTTTCCCTTGAACATAATATTGTAAAATTAAAAGTATACTAGGGCAAAGTCCTCATGCCACTATTTGAATTCAGTTAAATTCAAAAAACAATTATAAGTGATTTACCCATAACTTCCTGAAGCAAATATTCAGGACGTTTCGGAAGAGAATATGGTTTACCAAGTTACACATTCCATTTGACTTCTATCTCTGTAACTTGTTTGCTGGGATGATCCTGGATAAGCAGCTTAATCTGATTTGGTTATGTCATCTATAAAAATAAGTGCCTACTCCATTGCCTAACTAACAATAGGTACTTATCACATAAATGTTAGCTTCTCTTCCCTTTCTTACTGCTTTAAATCCTTAAAATGAGTTCACTTTATGGATAGTTCCAAAGATTTCCTTCATCCTTAAATTTTTTAATTTCCTTGATAATGACCTTTTCCAATTTTGTTTCTGTTGCCATTTTTTCCCCTCTTCCAGTTAATTCTGAAACAAAGTATAAATTTAACAGGGCTTTTCCTGAGCCCTAAACTGCGTTTTTCTTGTCTATTGAAAACTATTAATAGTTTGTCTTTTGGCAAATAAATCCCCAAATCAATATCCTACTGTCTTTTGGCATGTATCCCTTCCCCCACCAAAACAAAAGAGAAATCCCTCGTCTGGAGATCATAGGCTCAGGATAGCAAAGAGTAATGAGTAAATATATATATATATATATATATATTTTTTTTTTTTACAAGAAAAGATACTCCTGCAGGTCAAGGGTAAATTAAACTCCCCACTGGAGAGGTTTCCTTATGAACACAGGCCTTAACTTCCTGCCTATTACTGCCAATGTATCCTCTCCCCCAAATATTCTGAGTTCTTTAACCTTGAAGTTAAACTCTGGTACACAGTCGACCCTTGAACAACACAGGTTTGCACTGTGCAGGTCCACTTATACACAGATTGTTTTTCAATAAATAAACAGAACAGTATTACATAATCAGTGGTTCGATGATCTCTGATATGGAATTATGGATATGGAGGGCTAACTGTAAAGTTGTACGTGGACTTGAGACTGTACAGAGGGTCAGCTCCCCTAAACCCTCATTGTTCAAGGGTCAACTGTATTTGAATGGTACAGTTCCACTTGAAAGATGATGTTTGAAGCTGCTATTACATAATTCTTGGCATCCAGTAGCCAGTTGAGACAAAAAGGAATATGGGTCCTTCTAATATAATATGAATATGATTAGCATTAAAAAAAATCACTTGGGATATAAGTCGAGGTATTTTTTATTTATGACATATGTACATACGTACAAAATTGGCTTTATCCAATACATCATCCTGCATAGTATCTTAAAAAACAATACCATATTCTGGGAGTAAAAATCTAAGTTTCTTAATTTATGTATAACCTAACATCTTTTAGAACACAGAATATTACCAATTTGGCTTCACAGAACACAAATTCCTGTTTAGAATTTTTTCTAGCCAAGGAACAAAATAAATTCAACAACATCTTAAATTAATTTAGCTGACCCTGAGTATATTACTAATTTGCATAACTTGAATTAATGTATATAATACACTTTCATCTGTACTGTTATCTACTTATATTTATCATACTACCATTTTGTCTATATCCATTCATCTCAATTTTCTACCTCATTAATCCTTGAGAGAAAGAACAAAGAATGGGGAAGTAATAATAAGAAATTCAGAGGAGAAAACTACAGGTATTAGCTCAAACTTTTCCACCCAGAAGTCTGGGGCCCAGCTCTAAGTCCAGGGTTACCTGATAAACTTAATAACAAGACGATATTGATCTGAGTACCTTCTGTCAATTGAGGCTGATGTAAAATTACTCTTCCTGCATTTCTTCCTGTTCTCTTTCACAACACTTAATTAAAAAGTATACAAACTGAGCTTCCCTGGTGGCGCAGTGGTTGAGAGTCCGCCTGCCGACGCAGGGGACACGGGTTCATGCCCCGGTCTGGGAGGATCCCACGTGCCACGGAGCGGCTGGGCCCGTGGGCCATGGCCGCTGAGGCTTGCGCATCCGGAGCCTGTGCTCCGCAACGGGAGAGGCCACAGAGGTGAGGGGCCCGCGTACCGCCAAAAAAAAAAAAAAGTATACAACTTATCAAATTCAGTAAGTAGTTCTGGGAGCACTTCAAAAGAAAAGAAAACACAAACATGACCAAAATAGTAGTGGCAAAGAACTGTGTTAAAGATAGGTTGTCCCAAGATGCTTGAGGGTAAAACTCCCCAGCTCAACTCTCCCAAAAAATGCTAGTGCAAGAATTATAAGGAAACAAGCAAGAAAAGGACAGGGCAGCTGGATGATTGGTGAAGGGAGCCGTGGCCTTAGGTTGATAACCAGCACATCTCATACCAAAATACCAACAGTAAAAGACCTCCTGGCTCACGCTGCCCTGGTGTGTGAGAGGTAATGAGTTACTTTTCTTGCCCCTTGTACAAGAGGGAAATCCAAGAATGAAAAAGTAAACAAGAGGCTGGGAAAGTTGACTGTGGAGTCAGTCATGCACTGATGCCTACATCTCTCTTCTTTCTCTCATTACTTTTAATGACACAGAAGACTGAATGACAACTATACAGTGCATAGAAATTAACACATAACACAGATGGAAAATTAGTACTTAATCTTCTCATCCTCAGGTAAAAAAAACAGAAATCAAACAAGTACTTGAAATATTAATACAAAGCAAACATTACATGAAATGACAGCACAGGATAACAGCTTCAATACCTTAAAAGATTTTATAAGATTGTGCTGATTCTTTTACATCTAAAGAATTATATAGAAGAGTAAATAAAAATTAAATTATGTTTATATAAGAAACTATCTTCAAAAAGTTATTTGAACTTTCAAATATAGAGTTCAAAAGTATATGATGAACTATTTTTGATTTGTATAAATCCCAAAATGGTAAAATATATTATCTGGGGGAAAAAGAAGCTTTCATTAAATACAAACATAATGGACTAAATAAACCAGGTTCACTATAAAACAGTTTCTTGGAAAACTTCCATAGAAAGTAAAGGCAGAATGGCACGAAGTTAGAAAAGCTGTGTTTAAGGCAAACTAAATAAGTAACCTTAAAGTAAGTCATATGATCCCATAAACAACAAAGTAATTTCCTCTCAAAAATTTCTCTATTACAGTCGGAGAAATGAATTAAAGCAGAAATAATGGCTGTTGTCAGAGTTACTTGGAAGCACTGAATACCATTATGCAAAAAAACCCAAATGCTTCTAATTTAAATATGCTTGACTCATTTGCCCCTTAGTTGTCACAGAGCAATGAAAAAAATAAAATGCATTATCCCAGTGTTCATCGTACAGTATGAATGTGAAATGCTGAAACATTAAAAAAAAAATGGAATTTTTCAGGCTATGTGTATAACATGATAACCAAAAAGAAAATGATCGATTCTGTTATTCTGGCCTATGTTAAAAATATGCATAGACAAGTGCACCATCTCCCTACAAGTAGGTGTGTTAGAGTCTCTTGTTGAGCACACGGCTTAACATCAGACCTGTGATCACATGGACACACGAAAAGCTTCCAAGATGGACAGGGAAGAGATTAATCATGAATTAAAAGAAACAATGCTTTTAAACAGTGTTCAGTAAACATGTTCTTTAGTCAACTATTTCTTAAAAAACAAAATAATCAAGTACATATCATTAAGTTAAATATCTTAGCACATGAATTTGCACCTTATAAATCTGGTGTTTCAAACTGTCCTATAAAAATATTTATATATTTTTTGAGAACTATGGTACGTGCAATTATATAATCAGAAAAAGGATCTGTTTCTTTTCATCTACTGGAATGACACCATGCCTTTCTAAGAAAAAAACTGCAGCCCACAGGAAAATGATCAAAACAGCTGGACTGACTGAAGTTGTCCAGTTTAAGAAGGGACTGTCTCTTCTCCACCAGCAGCTCAAAGTTAGCAAGTGTCAGTATCCCAGGCCAGCCTTCTCACATGGTCCCGGGGGACAGGCGCTGTTTATACATGCCTGCTACTGCTTTGGCTGCACTGTAGATCATCTGCCGACGAGACATGCCAGTGAAAGTCATATGCCAATCAGTCCGGCTGACATTGAGTAAGCTCTTCTCCAGGACTTCGCCCACTGTCACCAAAAGGCCCGACCACCTCAGACTGTAGTCCTGGGGAGTTAGACTTTGAGCCTAAGGAAAAAAGAAATCGATATTTTAATACATTAAAAAACATCACTGGAAGTAGTTATGTCATAAGTGACATTTCAAAGTCTCTCAGGTTACTTCTCATAGAGATTATGACAGACCCTGAGAAACACGGCTATGCTGCCAAATGTATGAAGTTACAAGGCTACAAAAAAAACACAAAACAATATTGCACACATGGACTTGATTTACAATGTCCACACTAAGCTCATTTTGTTGTTTAAATACAATCTAAGTCTTAAAGCTAATGACTCTATCTAACAGAGCTCAGTGTCAGAGGGCCTAAGTGTCAGTTCTATATTCAGTGTCACTTTAGGTTAATAAGATTAGTGCTAAAATAGAAATGTTACTTTTATCTTTTTACAGTAATAAAATTCCTTACAATTACAAGAAAGAGAGATAATACTGCATATTAAGGCTTCAACCCTATCAGAAAAGAATTGTTAAATTAATCTGCAGAAGAGTATTCCTGGAAACTTCATTTATGTGTGAATAAGTTAGCACCAATATATATCAAATAACATCCAGTCCAGGAGAGAGCATCAACCACTGTTACATCACTTGTACTTGACCCAGCCTACATCTGCTCCATGGCAATCATTTATTCACCTACACAGGAATGAAAAAATAAACTCACTGCCTGATATCCAAGAATGATACAGTTTTTTGGCTTTAGGGTGGTAAGTATAGTCCAGAGGAGTATAGCCATGTGTAGAAAGGGTCCATGCAGTGATTCCCAAATGTGCTATATATTACAATCGCCTGAGATGCATTTTTTTTTTTTTTTTAACAAAACCACTTTTCATGCTCCACCTAAGACCAATGAATTGGAAACTCACAGATGGTTCCAAGAGAAAGAGCACAATACTTATAAAATAGTTTCTGAGAAATTCTGCTGGGGAGCCTGCTCTGTCTTCCCTTCCACAGGGTACACTGCACTATCAGTATTCTACTATGTTTTAAAGAGAGACAGTAGATAGACCACTATGGTCCTCAGAACTGTGTTTCTCAAATGCGATGTGCACATGAAGCATCTGGGGAGCTTCTAAAGTTGCAGATCCTAATTCCATAGCCTTAGGTTAGGGCCCAAGAGTACTTTTTTTTTTAAGACTAAATGGGCAATGCACAAATCCTTTTTTTCCAGTTTTGAGATACTGACATATATCACTATTTAAGTTTAAGATGTACACCACAATGGTTTCACTTACCTTTATTGTGAAATGATTACCATGATAATCACCCCATATTTAGATACAATAAAAAGAACCAAAAAAAAAAACCTTTTTTCTTTATGACAAGACCTCTTAAGATCTACTCTCTTAACAACTTTCATATAGCATACAATAGTGTTAACTACAGTCACCATCCTATACATCATATCCTCAGTACTTATTTCTCCCGTAACTGGAAGTCTGTACCTTAAGACCACCTTTCTCCTACCACCCTTCCTCAAGCGTGCATTTTTAACAAGTTCCCAGGTGATGATTATGATGCTAGGCCTAGGATCATACTTTTGAGGATCAAAATACTTGACATTATCAGCTAACATCTAGAAACTGGGTTTTTAATTGGGGGAGGAGGGATCATTTATATTTGTTTAACCAGCATAAACTGTATAAAAATTTTTCCTGATTTTCACTAATATATTGATATATGCTGATTATAATCCCCTTAAGGGCTGATTTCTAGTCTCTTAAATTCTCTTAAAAAATTTCAACTACAAGGGAACATAGAATTGAACATCTTGCAGTGGATAAAACAAGAAACAGCGTAGAACTGAAGAGCAAGGACAAGAGGAAGGAATCTCAATACCTATACTTTTGTATCTCAACTTTGTACCTTGTGAAAGAAATGAAATGACAGCAGAAATGGCAAAACAAAAAGCAAACGACACTCTTTGAATACCACTGTTCACAGTTAACCACATTAAGAGCCTGTGTGTACTTTTCCAGGCCTTTTTGTCCTATTCATTTACATACATTTTAAAGTATATATGGGTATATGTGTGTGTGTGTATATATGGATACTACATGCAGTTTATTTTCACTTAGCAATGTCACAGACAAATTTGAATATTAGTATATATAGTTTTATTAGTATATATACTTTTGATGCTTTGTTCCTGGAGCATAATGTCTGTTTCTTTCCAATATATATTTTTAAAACAGAATAAAAATTGCCCTTGCAGTGATCAGACATCTAGCAAAAGAGTCACCAACATTTTCTGAAAAGGGTCACGTAGGAAATATCTTAGGCTTTGTGGGCCAGACAGTCTCTATAGCAACTACTCAATTCTCCTGCTGTAGCCAAAAAAGCAGCTGTAAACAGTATGTAAACAAACGGGCCCAGGTATGTTCTTTACAAAAAAACACTTCTTTACAAAAACAGGGGTCAGGCCAGATTTGGCTGTAAGACTTTTTTCTTTTTTTTTTTTGTGCTAGTCCCTGATTTCAAGCAATGTAAGAATGACAGTGACAGAAGCAGCCTTACAATTACAAGGTTCCTAATGTTTTACCATTAGATCTGATTTTTGCTTTGACTTACCAGTATACACATACCCTTCTAATCCTAATTAGCTAAGAGTTATTAGCACGGTTGTAATTTCTTTTTTTTTCTTTTTAATTTTTATTGGAGTGTAATTGATTTACAACGTTGTGTTAGTTTCAGGTGTACAGTGAAGTGAATCAGTTATACATGTATCCACTCTTTTAGATTCCTTTCCATTATAGGCCATTAGAGAGTACTGAATAGAGTTCCCTGTGGTATACAGTAGGTTCTTATCAGTTATCTATTTCATATAGAGTAGTGTTTATATGTCAATCCCAATCTCCCAATTTATCCCTTCCCCCCTACCCCCCCCTTGGTAACCATAAGTTTGTTTTCTACATCTGTGACTGTTTCTGTTGTAAGTATGTTCATTTGTACCCTTTTTGTATATTCCACATATAAGCTATATCATATGATATTTTTCTTTCTCTGGCTTACTTAGTATGACAATCTCTAGGTCCATCCATGTTGCTGCAAATGGCATTATTTTGATCTTTTTTATGGCTGCATAATATTCCATTGTATACATGTACCACATCTTCTTTATCCATTCATCTATCGATGGACATTTAGGTTGCTTCCATGTCCTGGCTATTATAAATAGTGCTGCAATGAACATTGAGGTGCATGTATCTTTTCAACTTATGGTTTACTTCCGGATATATGCCCAAGAGTGGATTGCTGGATCATATATTAGCTCTATTTTTAGTTTTTTAAGGAACCTCAACACTATTCTCCATGTGGCTGTACTAATTTACATTCCCACCAACAGTGTAGGAGGGTTTCCTTTTCTCCACACCCTCTCCAGCATTTATTATTTGCAGACTTTTTGATGATGGCCACTCTAACTGGTGTGAGGTGGAACCTCACTGTAGTTTTGATTTGCATCTCTCTAATGATTAATGATGTTGAGCATCTTTTCATGTGCTTTTTACCCATCTGTATGTCTTCTTTGTAGAAATGTCTATTTGGGTCTTCTGCCCATTTTTTTTGATTGGGTTGTTTTTTTTTATATTGAGCTGCATGAGCCGTCTGTATATTTTGGAGATTAATCCCTTGTCAGCTGCTTCATTTGCAAATACCTTCTCGCATTCTGAGGGCTGTCTATTCATTTTGTTTATGGTTTCCTTTGCTGTGCAAAAGCTTTTAAGTTTAATTAGGTCCCATTTGTTTATTTTTGATTTTATTTCCATTACTCTAGGAGGTGGATTGAAAAAGATCTTGCTGTGATTTATGTCAAAGAGTGTTCTGCCTGTTTTCCTCTAAGAGTTTTATAGTATACGGTCTTACATTTAGGTCTTTAATCCATTTTGAGTTTATTTTTGTGTATGGTGTTAGAGAATGTTCTAATTTCATTCTTTTACATGTAGCTGTCCAGTTTTCCCAGCAGCACTTACTGAAGAGACTGTCTTCTCCATTGTATATCCTTGCCTCCTTTGTCATAGATTAGTTGACCATAGGTGCATGGGTTTATCTCTGGGCTTTCTATCCTGTTCCGTTGATCTATATTTCTGTTTTTGTGCCAGTACCATACTGTCTTGATTACTGTAGCTTTGTAGTATAGTCTGAAGTCAGACAGCCTGATTCCTCCAGCTCCGTTTTTCTTTCTCGAGATTGCTTTGGCTATTTGGGGTCTTTTGTGTTTCCACACAAATTGTATATTTTTTTGTTCTAATTCTGTGAAAAATGCCATTGGTAATTTGATAGGGATTGCATTAAATCTGTAGATTGCTTTGTATAGTATAGTCATTTTCACAATATTGATTCTTCCAATCCAAGAACATGGTATATCTCTCGACCTGTTCGTGTAATCTTTGATTTCTTTCATCAGTATCTTACAGTTTTCTGAGTACAGGTCTTTTACCTCATTAGGTAGGTTTATTCCTAGGTATTTTATTCTTTTTGATGCGATGGTAAATGGGGTTGTTTCCTTAATTTCTCTTTCTGACCTTTCATTGTTAGTGTATAGGAATACAAGAGATTTCTGTGTATTAATTTTGTATCCTGCATCTTTACCAAATTCATTGATTAGCTCTAGTAGTTTTCTGGTAGCATCTTTAGGATTTTCTATGTATAGTATCGTGTCATCTGCAAACAGTGACAGTTTTACTTCTTCTCTTCCATTTGGATTCCTTTGGATTCCTTTTATTTCTTTTACTTCTCTGATTGCTGTGGCTAGGACTTCCAAAACTATGTTGAATAAGTTGTGAGAATGGACATCCTTGTCTTGTTCCTGATCTTAGAGGAAATGCTTTCAGTTTTTGACCGTTGAGAACAGTGTTTGCTGTGGGTTTGTTGTGTATGGCCTTTATTATGTTGAGGTAGGTTCCCTCTATGCCCACTTTCTGGAGTTTTTATCATAAGCAGGTGTTGAATTTTGTCAAAAGCTTTTTCTGCATCTATTGAGATGATCATATGTTTTTTATTCTTCAGCTTGTTAATGTGGTGTATCACACTGATTTGTGGAAATTGAAAAAACCTTGCATCCCTGGATAAATCCCACTTGATCATGGTGTATGATCCTTTTAATGTGTTGTTTGATTCTGTTTCCTAGTATTTTGTTTAGGATATTTGTGTCTATGTTCATCACTGATATCGGCCTGTAATTTTCTTTTTTTTGTGATAACTTTGTCTGGTTTTGGTAGCAGGGTGATGGTGACCTTGTAGAATGAGCTTAGGGAGTGTTCTTTCCTCTGCAATTTTTTGGAAGAGTTTCAGAAGGGTAGGTGTCAACTCTTCTCTGAATGTTTGATAGAATTCACCTGTGAAGCCATCTGGTCCTGGCCTTTTGTTTGCTGTTAGATTTTCAATCACAGTTTCAACTTCAGTACTTGTGAGTCATATTTTCTATTTCTTCCTGGTTCAGTCTTGGAAGGCTATACCTTTCTTATCTGTCCATTTTTTCTAGGTTGTCCATTTTATTGGCATATAGTTGCTTGTAGTAGTCTCTTATGATCCTTTGTATTTCTGTGGCATCTGTTGTAACTTCTTTTTCATTTCTAATTTTATTGATTTGCACCCTCCCCTTTTTTTCTTGATGAGTCTGGCTGAAGATTTATCAATTTTGTTTATCTTTTCAAAGAACCAGCTTTTAGTTTCATTGATCTTTTCTATTTTTTCTTCATCTCTATTTTATTGGGTTGGCCAAAAAGTTCTTTCAGTTTTAAGTAAAAATAAAAGACACAGTTTTTCATTTTCACCAAGAATTTTATTGAACAATGTATTTACTAACTGAATGAACTTTTTGGCCAACCCAATACTTATTTTTGCTCTGATCTTTATCATTTATTTCCTTTTGCTAATTTAGGGGTTTTTTTTTTTTTGGTTGTTCTTCTTTCTCTAGTTGCCCAACAAGGTGGAAATTTTAAAAAGTTATGAAGACATAGGTGAATAAAGTAAATTTTGATTGGGATGAAACAGAGGAAACAGGAGATTCACAGAACTTATCCCAGCAGGGTGGAAATCTTCAGATGGCCATTAAGAAACAGGATGAATAAAACAGACATAGGTGGGATTAAAACAGGTTTTAACACAGCACTACCAAAGGTTGAGTGGGACTCCCTGCTGGTTCCCCAACACTGAAGGGCCCCAAATAAGTCTGCTCTATTTATCCTAGTTAGGAGAAATTTTAAAAGTCTGAAGGTAGAAATGATAATGAGAAATTTAAGCAGCAATCAATTGGGGCAGTGACTAGGCAGATTAATCAAGATAAAGACTGACAAATGGGCCAAAACCCCTTGGCTCAAACCCTAGCTGGGGACCCAAAGACTTTTGTACAAGAGTAAAATGGTCAGGAGTGGAGAAGAGACGTTTCCCTTGAGCTGTGTTACCAAAGTCCACTAGTGAAGGCCTGATGTGTGCTACAATTAGACTGAAAGAAAGTAAAAATGTAATGGTTGATAGAATTATGAAAGTTGACACTTCCCCTACCTAGTATTACAAAACCAAAACCCACTGATGAAGTCTCAATGGGGGCTATAGTGAGGAACATAAGTGATGATGGAATTACAGTATAAGTTTGTAGGAGACTTGGTGTGTTTGAACTGGTTTCATGTGAAGTGACGGTGTTTTTTTTCACCTGATTATATTTTGGGGATGGACACTGTATCTCACTGGGGAACGTTTCCCTTATCTAGTATTGTAAAACAGAAGGGATGGAAGGCCACCCGTCAAGCATTATTAACTGGACATGCTCTATGGAACCAGTAAGATTGTCTGAGCCTGCAGTGTGGAATAGAAGTTGGAGTGCTGGTAGGGACAAAACTCTCTGCGCCACAGCCCTATGTGGAACGTAGACTGAGGCTTATGGCAAAAATCTGTGAGTGCCTCCCAGCAATGACTACTTGAACTTCGAACTACAGAATTTCCATTTGAGGGGTGTTTACTACCTAGCCACTGGACATTATTAATTGAAGCTACTCAGATGACTAAAGGGCATAAAATGATACTGAAATGTGAAATACCCAAAACGTCTGGGATGATGGAGAAACACCCTAATAGGGATGGCAGTGCCCGGAAGAGTTCCACCATAATGGAAACGGTTTATACAGGAACATGCTGTCTGGGGAATACAGGGAGAAGACTAACAAGCTCGGTGTCTCTTTTCCTCTAGGACAGATCGTAACTGACCAACCAAGAGCTGCTTGGTTCATGGGTAGCAGTTCCAAGGTGGATGGATAACATACTATTTGGAAGTCCACTGCTCTGACTGAGGAAGGTAAAAACAAATCAGACAGGCAAGGCTGAACTGCATGCTGTTTTCCCAGCAGTGATGAAAGGATTGAACAGTGATATAATCTCCTATCTTCTGGTTTTTACTGAGTCATGGGCAGCGGTCAATGGCCTGGCCATATGGTCAGGCAGGAGGGCAATGGAAACCTGGCCTATTAAAAGGATGCCCATATGGGACACACAACCCTGTGGAAATCACTGTGGGAACTGGAGGGATGCACTAAACTAGAACATGTTGATGCCCATCAGAAGAACTCCTTTCCAGGCTTGGAAGGTGAATGGAATCAACAATCAGATATCCCCCTGCTCTCTCTCAAGACGGCCACCTGGGTCCATGAAGTGAGTGAATATGGGGTTAGTGCAGCAATGCAGAGATGGGCTGAATCTAGACCCATTCTTCTTGTACACTCTGAGTCACAAAATGCCAATAAAAACTGTTCTGTCGACCAGCAAAAAAGACAGAGACTGCAGATGGCTATGTGGCAGATTTCCTGTTAGGAAGGCCCTGAACATAGCAAGTTAGTTGGTAGCCTTGGGGGACTACAAACGGTTCTTTACAGGTAGAGACAGTGACTCTAGGCGGGGCTTTTCTTACCCAGTGGTAGAGGCAAATGCTCAGTTACAGTTTCTGGTTCAGCACTCTATGTTGTTGTTGTTGTTGTTTTTAACACCTTTATTGTAACTATGTTTTTAATCTTTGTTACAACTCCTAAGGGCCTTTAGGGCAAGATGTGCCTTCACTCCATCTGAAAAAATGGGGCTAACAGTGATTGCTGCTATATGGGCTGGTGGTAAAGACAGCCCACCTGTTCTGCACCTATGTAACCTTAACTTATCTGAATAGAAGTGGATGAGGGGGAGGCATCTGCTAGCCTAGTATTGCTGTCTGTAATCTAGACCAGTTGCTGAACCTAATGTCCCTTCCAAAGGTGGAGAAGTTTGGATATGAAAGGAGAAAAAGGCAAAAAAAAAAAAAAAAAAAAAGGCTCAGAGCAAGAGATGATACCATCTCTTAGCTCTATTATACTACATGCCTGAAAGGGTGAAGCCATATAGTGTATCTCTGACACCCCTCCTGCTGTTTTTTTAAATTGAAGTATAGTTGGTTTACAATGTTGGGTTAGTTTCAGGTATACAGCAAAATGATTCATTTATACATATGTATGTACAGATCTATTCTTTTTCGGATTCTTTTTCATTATAGACTACTACGAAATATTGAATACTGTATAGCACAGGAAACTGTAAGTCCTTGTTATCTACTTTTTATATAGTAGTGTGTATTTGTTAACCCCAAACTCCTGATTTATCTCCTTGCCCCATGCCGCCACTATCCCCTTTGGTAACCAAAAGTTTGCTTTCTATGTCTCTGAGTCTATTTCTGTTTTCTAAATAAGTTCATTTGTACCATTTTTTTTTTTTTACATATAAGTGATATGTATTTGTCTTTCTGTCTGACTTACTTAGTATGATAATCTCTAGATCCATCCATGTTGCTGCAAAATGACATTATTTCATTCTTTTTAATGGCTGAGCAATATTCCGTTGTATATATGTACACCACATCTTCTTTATCCAGTCATCTGTTGATGAACATTTAGGTTGATTCCATGTCTTGGCAATTGTAAATAGTGCTGCTGTGAACATAGGGGTGTACGTATCTTTTCAAATTAGAGTTTTTGCCTCTTCTAGGTATATGCCCAGGAGTTGGATTGCAGGATCATATGATAGCTCTATTTTTAGTTTTTTTATGGACCCTCTATACTGTTCTCCATACATTCCCACCAACAGTGCAGGAGGATTTCCTTTTCTCCACACCCTCTCCAGCATTTATTATTTGTATACTTCTTGATGATGGCCATTCTGACTGGTGGGAGGTGATAACCTCATTGTGGTTTTGATTTGCATTTCTCTAATAATTATTGATGTTGAGCATCTTTTCATGTGCCTGTTGGTCATCTGTATGTCTTCTTTGAAGAAAAGTCTCTGGGTCTTCTGCCCATTTTTTGATTGGGTTGTTTTTTTGTGGTAGAGTTTTATGAGCTGTTTGTATATTTTGGAGATTAATCCCTGTTGGTTGCTTCCTTTGCAAGTATTTTCTCCCATTCTGCTGGTTGTCTTTTCATTTTGTTCATGGTTTCCTTTGCTGTACAAAAGCTTTTAAGGTTTAATTAGGTCCCATTTGTTTATTTTTGCTTTTATTTCCATTACTCTGGGAGACGTATCCAAAAAATATTGCTGTGATTTATGTCAGAGTCTTCTGCCTATGTGTTCCTCTAAGAGTTTTATAGTATCCAGTGTTACATTTAGGTCTTGAATCCACGTTTGAGTTTATTTTTGTACATGATGTTAGAGAATGTTCTAATTTCATTCTTTTACATGTAGCTGTCTACTTTTTCCAGCACCACTTATTGAAGAGACTATCTTTTCTCCATTGTATATCCTTATCTCCTTTGCTGTAGATAAACCGACACACCTGTGGTCAATTAATTTCCAGACTTTCTACCCTGTTACATTAAATCTGTGTATTTGTGCCAGTACCATACTGTTTTTGATGACTGTAGCTTTGTGGCATAGTCTGAAGTCAGGGAGTGTGATTCCTCCAGCTTCATTCTTCTTAAGATTGTTTTGGCTATTAGGGGTCTTTTGGTTTCCAGCCAAATTTTAAAATTATTTGTTCTAGTTCTGTGAAAAATGCCATTGGTAATTTGATAGGGACTACACTGAATCTGTAGATTGCCTTAGGTAGTATGGTCATTTTAACAATATTGATTCTTCTATCCAAAACCATGGTATCTTTCCATTTGTGTCATCTTCAATTTCTTTCATCAGTCTTAAACAGTTTTTGGAGTACAGGTCTTTTGCCTCCTTACATAGGTTGATCCCTAGGTATCTTATTCATTTTGATGTGAATGGTAAATGGGATTGCTTCATTAATTTCTTCCTTAATTTCTCTTTCTGAGAACTTAAGAAAACAATTTTCCACTCCTGCTTTTGAAACCTGCATACCCATGTGCCCTCATGCTGGGAGACTTTCTCATGATATGACAATGTACTAAATAGTTATTAATGACAAACTGGGATGCCAGGTATCATTTAACATTTATGACTGTTTTACTATAAGGGATACATGTTCAAAGATCAGGGAGTGGATTGTGATATTCTGATTTATAAAGTATAAAGGACAGGGTTTAGACAGTTTCTTGGTTGGTGAAGGTGTGGAGATCTGGAGAGAGTGGAGCACTAGGAGAGGGTATGGAAGCTCCACCTCCTTTCTCCATAGCTTGCCCTATGCATCTCTTCCATCTGGCTGCTGCTGACTTATATCCTTTTATAATAAACCTGTGATCTAGGGTGAAGTGGGTTTCCTGCATTCTGTGAGCTGCTCTAGCAAATGAGAATCTCTGATTTCCTCTGATATACAGCCAGTCAGTCAGAAGTTCAGGTAACAACCTGGACTTGTGATTGATAGGTGTCTGGAAAGGAGGGGTGCAGGCAGTCTTGTCGGACTGAGCCCTTAACCTGTGGGATAGGTGTCAGAATTGAGTTGAATTATAGGATATCCACACGATATCCAGCTGTTCCTAAGAACTGCTAGGTGGCATGGGGAAAACTACACCCCCACACACACTTTAATGTTCTAATAAATACATTTCAAACTTTTATTAGTTTTACTGTTTACTTAAGTGATACTGACTGTATTATAATTTATTTTTTCATTAGGTTACAAGCTAGTCTCACAGAATAAAATGGAAAACTTTCTACCTCTATGCACGAGAATCACGTATTACGTATTCGTTGAATACCTTGTAGACCTCACAACACCATTAAAACTCAGTGATTTTTTTGGAGCTAGATGAAACTCTTGCATCAAAAGGCTTCACTAAGATAATTAGGTTAAATCATATGAAACTGCCAAAATGTGACTGGTTTTGATCAACCTAATGGTTATAAACTGCCATTGTTGATTCAAGAATATTTTCCTAGAAAATCAACCGTTTTCTGTAATTTTTCTAAATTATTGTACAATAGCGTACAATCTTTTAATCACCTTCACATTGGAGTGAGTTTAATAGTACCATGTATAAAAATGTCTTCAACTTCTGAAGAGAAAACTTCTGAAGAGAAATTTTGGTAAAATTATGGTATAAGTAAGTAAAGGTTCAATAAACTTAAAAATTCCAAGCATAAATTCTTATTCCCCATCTAACCTGTAAACCCCTAAGAAGGCCACAGGTTGCTTTCAGGGGCTCTGTAAACATGTGAGCCAAATTTATATGTGAGTGCATACATCATACATGCATGCTTTTGGGGGAGAACCCAGTAGCTTTAGCAAATTCTCAAATACCTAAAGTCCCAAATAACTTTAGAGAGTTTTGAAATGACATTTAACAAGGTACATACATAAAAATGTGATGGAAATTCTATTAAATGGAAGACAGGAAAAATACCATTTCAGAGTACAAAGATTCCAATGTAAACAAACTTAACATTCTATTTCATTTAAGGATTAAAAGTACATAAAAATATAGAAGGAATGAAAACCATTTTATATTAATGCTAACATTCTTCTGGAAACTATGTGGATAGGTAGACATTTTTCAACAAACCGAAAAGACATGTGACTTTCATCCAAGGTTTGTAAACTTCTAAATGTGTTTCTACATGTTTTTAGAGCTGAACAAACTAAAGAGGAAGATGAGGACAATCGAGTAACAGTAACAGCAGAAAATAAAATGTGAGATAAAGGAGACAGTTAATGAAAGGTGAACACAATTTTTTTTTCCAATCACAAGGTAGTGAACACAATCATAAAAAGAGGGAAAACAATGAGAAAAAGAGGATTAACCATGTAATGGCTTGACAAAGACCGCTGGAAAACGAAAAAGTAGGGAGGTACTGAAACAACATGGAAGGAATAGAAAATTGAAAAGCAAAGAGAAAAGGCTAAAAGGAGCAAAGAGAAAAGGCTAAAAGGAACAAGTGAAGCAAAACAATGAAAAATCTTATTTTGAAAACAGTATTTCAGGTTTCTCTGAAGCATAATGAAAAAGAAAAGGATAAAACTAACCTGTTGTACAAATTCCAAGGGTACTGGTGTGGCCTGTGTAAATGCTTCTAGATGAATACCATGCACAGGGTCTTCAACTATCAGACAGCCAATGTCAAACCATCTGCAACAGAATGCATGAGTTTCACACTGTGTATGTGCTAAATGAGTTATGGTGAATAGATAAAGTACTAACATTCCAGATTGACTAGAAAAACATTTCCTTGAAATTTTCAATAGGACAATCTATAAAACAACATATAAAATTACTCTGTTGGCTTAATTCAGAGAAGGAAAAACAACAAAGAAAAAATAATTGAAATTACTCATCATGGAAAGTTCCTTTTCTTGCTAAGATTTGGAGAAAAGAATGGCAATTAGGGGTGCTCAAATATGCAACAGATAAATCTACTCATTTGAAAATTCAAATAACATCGTAATTAAAAATGTCACTTGCTAAAATATGGGAAAATTTATATTACCAACTCTATAATTAATATATAGGCAAGTTGCAAAGTTACTATAAAAATAAACTCATTCAGGAAATAACAAATCCTCTCCTCATTCCTGATAATTCCTTCTAATCACACTTTCTGAATTGTTCACAACGAATCAGTTTGAAAACAGCCTCATGAAATCAAGAAAACTTTCTTCAATTTAAAGATACACGTAAAAAGTGATAGTTAAAAACTGACTTAGGTGAGGTCATCTGTAATATCACTAGCATTTTAACTAGCCAGAATCAGGAAATCATGAGTTTAAATAAGATACAGATCAAGAAAATTTTAAAATATACAGATTAAAGTGAGATGAAATACAATATGATTAGGAAACTTATTTACATATTCAAAGAAACAACAAAACAATGTGTAGAATAACTTTCAGTGTTTATAATGTCTGTAGTATTCACATCCTAAAATTTTCCTTTAAATTAAGAACCTTAAATAGTTATTTTATTTATTATATGAATCATCATTTTAAATAATTTATTTGGTATATGATGAATCAGTGTTTTATTTTATATGATTTGTGTATTATGCAGATGGCAGAGAATAACTGTAGTGACTAAGCTTCCAGGCACAGCACGGACGTCCTGAAAAGCAGCAATCCTGAAGGTACGAGCAGTCTCCCCTACAATGCCGGTGATCACACGAGAAAAACTCCCCTTCCTCTCCAAACTACTGTCACGCTCCCGAGCGTGTCAACCTGGATATCCCATCCTTCTCAACTCAAATCTAAACTGCCGTCACTGTCATGCCCACCGAGACCTCTTCCATTTCCCTGACTAGTGCTATTGGCTGAGGAAACGCTGTCTTCTCTCTCCTTCCTCCTGTCCTTCCACCAGCAGGAGGAAAAGTTGTGGTCTCCACTGTTCGCACTCAAGGACAATTGCTGAAGAATGCTCTCCTTCTCCTCACCCTCTCCATGTGGTTGGGGAAGTAAGACAGACTCGACCAATCCCATATGGAAGCTACTTAGACTTAAAAAAGGCTTAAGAATGGTGGTTCCAAGACATTTAGATTTCATGTAGCAGAAAAAAAATCAAAATAGCACCTGAGGAGCTGACACAGGTATGCCAATTTGTATTTTACCAAAGAAAGACCATCCACTACCACCAGTCACTTCACAGAAGGACATTTTAACCCATTTCACACATAACCCTTGGTTTTAGAACTTGATAGGTTAATCTCAGAATAAGGACAAATCATGTTCACACAGGTTATTTTTCCATTTTGGTATAAAACATGCTAATTTCCCTCATGTAGCATGAACTGATGCAAAGTTTATCACAAACAGCTAGGTCTATACTGGCTTTACTATTAGGAGGCAAACACCAATGGTCTTTTCTTGACTCAGTTATAAGCATGTATTTTCCTGACTATCTTCTGTCCATTTATTTTTCATGGGAACACCACAGAGAGAAGTAGCCAAAGCAAACGATCAAGTGTTTGTTTTGGGTCATGGGTTTGCTGTTTGTTCTCATGTCCTTCCTCTAGTCCCCTTCTGTATCTTAATATTACAGCCTTTTCACCCTCTCCTCCTTAAGCCATACTGGAAACCATCCACAGACTTCCTAATACCAATTACTATTCCTAATCTTCCTTATTTGCTAGTCTTCTGCTCAAAAAAAGGTAGGAAAAATAGCACATCTAGGTATGATGGAGCAGTTGATGGCAGACCAGTGCTCCCAATGAAAAGCTGGATGAGTACACAAGTCATATCTAATGGCATCCAAGAGCTGTAGAAGCAAGGAAGAGAAAATGGAGTAACATTCTGGACAGGGACAACCTTTCAAAGGTATGCTGAAGATTTTCAGCTGACCCTGAGCACAACCCAGCCTGGACTCAGGTCAGTCTATCTAAAGTGCACCAAACTACCCCTTCCACACACCTCACTACTCTGTTTATTAGAGGGAAGAGTGAACCTTCTCAAAATTACCTCAAGGCTCTCGAGTTTCTTATAAACAATGCCTGGCCTTCAAAGATTATGAGGCATCCACAAAGACAGCACCTTATCGTCACACCAAAAGGAGGCTAAAAGAGGCCCACACACTGGATTCAGTAGACAAAGATCTTAAAATAAATATGACTCATATTCAAGGAAAGAGAGAGGTAAAGATAGTCGAAGTAGAAAATACAGGTATTCAATAGTAAATTAAATCTACTTTTTAAAAAAAATCAATGTATGGGCTACACAGCAGAAGAATCAGAGTGAGGAAGTAGGGGAAAGAGAGGACTGACCAAATGAGAACTCTGAGGCACAGTCAGAAGGTGAACAAGCATGTAATTATAGTCCTAGAAAGAGAAGAGAGAAAATGGGCCAGAAGCCAATTCTGAAGATCCAATGGCCAAGGACTTTCCAAAACTGATGAAAGACATAAAATCCAATGAAAGAAAGAATCAAGCTCAGGGAATCCACAAAAATTCAATACCTAAGCAAACACACACCCCTGTACCTACCATACAAAACTGCAAAAATAAAATGACAGAAAAAATCCTAAATGCAGCTAAACAATACATTCTTTTCACAGAAACAAGCTGGATAGCTGATGTAACAGAAATGATGGAAGCCAGAAAACAGTACAACAGCATCTTTAAAGTACTGAAAGAAAAGATCTGCCAATCCGGACTTCTACATCCAGAAAAAAACACCCTGTGAAAATAAAGGTGCTTTAAAGGCACTTTCAGACAAAAGCTGAGAGAACTCCTGGCTAAAGTCTTCCATCACAATGTATATAGTACCAAAGGATGCTCTTTAGGCAGAATGACAATGATCCCAGACAGAAAAACCAAAAATGCAGGCAAGAATTCAGAGAATAAATATAAGTGAATAGAGTGTACAGAACTATACTAATATCTTAGGAGTTTAAAATATATACACAATTAAGATACTTAATACTGCAAAAGATGAAGGGGGTAAATGGTATTGAAAGTAGTTCAGTATTATCAAAGTCATAATTTTTATTAAAACATAATACGTGGAAAAAGGCACAACGGAATCTCTAAGGTAGCCCTTAAATGAATATTTCAGTTTCCCCCTCTGTTAACCTTTTAATATTCATCATCACTGGATGGTTGCTTGGTGCTTACATAGAAAGTTCAAACTTCCCAACCTAGCAATCAAAGCTCTTCCAGCTACTTTCTGATTTCCTATCCAACAGTGTTCAGCCAAGCTGATAAAATCACTGACCCCTGAATACATCTTAATCATCGTCACACTTCTCCTCCATGCAGAATGTCCTAGCTATTCTTTTCTACTTAACCAAATAATTCAGCTCAAGTCCCAATCATTCACGGATCTTACCTGACACCATCTCCACATCAAGTTAATTCCATTGAAAATGTACATAGCATTTTATGTACAGCCCACGTGCAGCAACGAAGACCCAATGCAGCCAAGAATTTAAAAAATAAAAAAATATGTTCCTCTACTGACAGGTGTTTGGTGATACCTATCAGTGTGAAAAGATATTTAAAAAAAAAAAAGATGAATTATGTTGCTGGAGGGTTTTTCCAAACTAGATGAGGTAGTGTTCAACAGAACTCAAACCTAGTGACTGCCTCCAGGCCCTCTTGCCATACCTTCCATTACTCTGAATGACTGTGTAAATGATTGTCACTGGAGGTCAACATCCAAGCCAATAACTAAATCACTGTATCATATGTAATTGATTATTAACACAATCTTAGCATGCAGGGAACACAATGTCCATTTTATAATTAAAAAGGAGAAACGAGCAGAAAGGTGAGCTGAGCTACACAGGTCACACAGCTAGTTAGATGACAGAGCTAGACCAGAACGTAATTTTCTCTCTGGGTCTAAAATAGGATACATTTTTTTACTAGATGTTCAGTGTAAGCAATCATATTTTGCTCCTAAGAGAAACATAATAAGCCTCTTACTGAACCATTATACGCCAACAAACTGGACAACCTAGAAGAAATGCATAAATTCCTAAAAACACACAACCTGAATCAAAAGAAACAGAAAATCTTAACAAATGGATTACTTGTAAGGAGACCGAATCAGTAATCAAAAACCTCCCAACACACAAAAGTCCAGAACCAGATGGTGTCACTGGTGAATTCTACCAAAGATTTAGAGAAGAATTAATACCAATCTTTCTCAAACTCTTCCAAAAAATAGAAGATGAGACACACTTCCAAACTCATTTTACAAGGCCAGCATTACCCTGATACCAAACCCAGACAAGGACACTACACAGAAGAAAATTAAAGGCCCAATATCCCTGAAAAGCAGAGATGTAAAAACCCTCAGTGAAATACTAGCAAACCGGATTCTACAATGCATTAAAAGGATCTATACCATAATCAAGTGGGCCAGGGATGCAAGGATGGTTCAGAATGTGCCAATAAATCAATGTGCTACACCACATTAACAAAATGAAAGATAAAATCATACAGTCATGTCAACAGAGCTATAAAAAGTATTGGACAAAATTCGACACCCATTAATGACAAAAACTCTCAACAGAGTGGATACAGAAGGAACATACCTCAACATAATCAAAGTCATATATGGCAAGCGCATAGCTAATATACTCAACAGTGAAAAGCTAAAAAGCTTTTACCTCTAAGATCAAGACAAGAATGCCCGCTCTTCCCACTTTCATTCAGCATGGTATTGGAAGTCCTAGTCAGAGTAATTAGGCAACAAAAAAAATGCATCCAAATCAGAAAGGAAGAAGTAAAACGGTCACTATTTGCACATGACATATTATATATAGAAAAACCTAAAGCTACCACCAAAAAACTGTTAAAACTAGTAAATTCAGTAAAGTTGCAGGATACAAATTCAATACCCCAAAATTTCTTGTATTTCTATACACTAATAGCAAACTATCAGAAGAAAAAAATTTTAAATACCATTTACAATTAGATCAAAAAGAATAAAATAGTTAGTTAGGAATATATTTAACCAAGCAGGTGAAAGATGTCTACTCTGAAAACTGTAAGACATTGATGAAAGAAACTAAAGAAGACACAAATAAATGGAAATATATTCCATGCCCATGGACTAGCAGAATGAACATTGTTAAAATGTTCCTATTACCCAAAGGAAGCTACAGACTCAGTGCAATCCCTATCAAAATTCCAGTATTTTCCACAGAAATAGAACAAACAATCCTAAAATTTGTATGCAACCACAAGACCCTGAATAGCTAAAGCAAATCTTGAGAAAGCAGAGCAAAGCTGGAGGCAATATGCTCCCTGATGTCAAATTATAATACGTAGCAACAGTAATCAAAATAGTATGGTACTTGCATAAAAAACAAAAATATAGATCAATGCAATAGAGCCCAGAAATAAACCCATGCATTTATGGCCAATTAGTTTATGACAAAACAGCCAGGAATATGCAATAGGGAAAGGACAGTCTCTTCAATAAATGGTGTTGAGAAAACTGGACCACAATTTCACACCAGAGATAAAAATTAATCAAAATGGATTAAATACTTGAGCATAGCATCTGAAACCATAAAAAACTAGAAGAAAACATAGGCAGTAAGCTCCTTGATATCTGTTGTGGCAATGATGTTTTCTGGGTTTGACACCAAAAGCAAATGCAACAAAATCAAAAACAAGTGGGACTACATTAGACTAAAAAGTTTCTGCACAGCAAAGGAAACTATCAACAAAATGAAAAGGAAACCTACCAAATGACAGACAATACCTGCAAATCATATATCTGATATGGGGCTAATATCCAAAATATATAAAGAACTCATACTAATCAACAGCAAAAACCAAACAATCCAATAAAAAAATGGGGAGAAGATCTGATTAGCCTCCTTTTCCAAAGAAGACATACAGATGGCCATACGTGAAAAGGTGCTCAACATCACTAATCCTCCAGGGAAATGCTAATCAAAACCACAATAAGATAACACCTCACACTGTTAGAATGGCTATTATCAAAAAACAAGAAATAAGTGTTCACGAAGAGGTGGAGAAAAGGGAACCCTTGTGCACTGTTGGTGGGACTGTAAATTGGTACAACCACTATGGAAAACAGTATGGAGGTTCCTCACAAACGGAACTACCAAATAATCCATAAAGTTCACTTCTGGGTATTTATCCAAAGGAAACGAAAATACTAACTCAACAAGACATATGCATCCCCCTGTTCACTACAGCATTATTTCCAACAACCGAGGCATGGAAGCAACTTAAATGTCTGCTGATGATAAAGAAAATGTGATTTACACACACACTCACACATAAATATGTATGTATATATACAATGAAATATTATTCCATTGAAAAGGAAGGAAAACCTTGCCATTTGCAGCAACGTGTATGGACACTGAAGTCATTAAGCTAACCGAAGTAAGTCAAATAGAGAAAGACAAATACTGTATGATCTCACATGTGGGGGGAAAAGCAAACTCACAGATACAAAGGAGAGATTGGTGGATGCAGAGGCAGGGGTGGGAGGGGGAGTAAAATGGATAAAGGGGATTAAAAGGTACAAACTTCCAGTTGACATGAGAATATAATGTACAGCAGGGTGACTACAGTTAATAATACTTTTTGTACATTTGAAAGCTGTTAAGAAAATAGATTTTGTCTTGTAAGTTCTCTAAAAAAATTATAACTATGTTAAAAAAAAATCCTCTTACTTGTCAGGAAGCAATTCTGCAATGAAGTTTTCTACTGACACAGCCGTCTGTTTTTCATGGATCACTCCAGTTCGACGCAAGCTATCTATCCGTTCCTGGGCACCCTGAAACAGTGTACATTAGAAACTATTTTAAATTATTCGGTTTTAAACATACTAATTTATGACTGTATAAGTAATATACATTTATACACAAACACATATATACTCACTGTAAACATGAAAACAATACAGAAACACACATATATACTCATTGTAAACATGAAAACAATACAGAAGTACAGAGGGTAAAAAGTGAAAAAGCCCCACTGTATTCCCCTCAGTATTAAGAGTCTGCAGTGCATCTTCCAAATTATTCCTATATGCATTATTATTTTGGTTGCTATCATGAAATGGATAATTTTTATATTACATGTTCTAATTGGTTATTACTAATAAAAGGAAACTGTGCTTTTTAATGTTGATCTGGCAAGAGGCCATCTTACTAAATAAAAATCATTTTTCAATTCTAGTAGTTTTTTAGTTGATTCTCTCTTGAATTTTTCTAGGCAGGCAATCATATCAATAGCAAATATGTTTTTTCTCTTTCTTCTGATTCCTTTTATGTATAGCCTTTAAAGTTTGCACCAAAATAACAGTTATTTTAACTTCAAATGTATGCATTACATCAAAGCTTATTCAAGAAAATTAGGGCCATTTATGAAACAAAATTGAGGGGCTGAGAACACTATATAGATAACTCAAAATCATGAATTAAATATATACTTATGGCAGAAAACTAAAAGCTGGATTAATGAGGACAAGGGTGTTGTTTACTACTTTTATTTGAATCACTTCATAAAAGTGATCATGAATGATGAGAATGTGTTCAAAAAGCAAGATAAAGCTATTTCTGAATAAAACTAGTCATGGATAACACCCCTATTTTTATCATGAACAGCAGAGCTAAGCAGTGAATGAGATTAAGGGGTCAATTCTTCTTCAAATGAAAATGAAGAAAGCTAAGATACTTCTAGAGATAACTGAATTTATTTCAGATAAAGAAGTGACAACTGCATGAGAACGTGTAGGCCAATCTGTCACTAGCTTATAAACATGAAAGATGAAAGAAGATATGAGTTAAACTACAATAAAGTCAAGCTGTATTTTTGCTTACTCTTGTATCTCTGGTACCTAGCATAGTGTCTAACCTAACAGGCAGCCAGTGGGAACTTACTACATGAAAAAGTGAACAAGGGAAAAACTAAGGGCTTCTGAAGGCCTATATGGCTAATATTAGGAATCTAAAGAGTGTAAATATGGCATCACCAAATCTAATAGTGCACGAGGAGGTCACTGTTGAATCTGAAAGAAAATACAATAGCTAAGATGAACCTAATTCTTTGTACTGGATAATGTAAATCTGTTCCGAAAAGTAAAATAATTCCCTCCTCCCAAAAGGTGGCTATGTCTAATTTTTACTATAAAGAAGTTTAAATAAATGTTAATTCAGTAAAAAACTATTAGGGGATTAGTGGGATGTTTAGAGATTCATTCGCAACTCTTCAAAGGTGCTATCTCAGCTACACACTACGACAAAACATTCCTAGATTTTATGCTAGAAACTAAGTTGGTTCATTTTTTACAATCCTACAGCACAGGGCTTTATACTTCATAGGGTTCACAAAATACTGAACTGAAATTAATTAGCACCTATAAAGATAGGATAATGAGTTAGGTAGACAAGTGTAATGCTTGTTTTTATGGAATCCAGAAGAGAAAATGAAGAGGGCGTAAATCAGCCTCTTTCCTCCTCTGACTACAACATTACTTAAGTGTGGCATCTTTTGGCGTCACAGAGACACTTTGGTATTAGTCACTACCAATGTTTTGAGAAGGGAATTTTAAACTTTATTTTTCAGCAGTGTAGGGTACCAAAAATTAGGTAGTTTAGAGGCCACACTGAAGTAACTGTCTCAGAACTGAAGTAAGATGCAGAAATGCCTCTAGAGCTTATACTGTACTCTGAGAGCTTATACTAAGCAACTTGGTTCAGATAATCAAAATTCCATGCTTCTTCAAAAATTCTTACAGATATTAACTACATTTTTCTTGACTATAAGCTATAAAACAATGGTCAGAAATATAATTGGCTTTTCAGTAAAATTAATACTTGGCATTGGAGAAGTTTCAGAAGCTTCCTAACTTTAATTACAGCTGATTTATTTCCTTAAACAATTTCATATGTTTAAAGGAAAACTTAAGTTTAGCCAAAAAAGACATTCACTTCAAATAAAATCTGATGGGGAGAAAAAAATCTGGGTTGAAATTTTAATATTCTACATTATTTTCTTTTTGTTAGTTCCCTCTACTGCTTCTGAAAAAAAACAAACAGCTGGGAAAATTACAAATCACTTTCCTATATATATCAGTTTCAATTAACTTTAATTTTAAGCTTGTATTAAAGATTGTGGAAAAGGAACACTTTTCTAAATTTGAAGGGCAAAAACCAATACTAAAACAAATCTGTCAAATACTAATAAAATCACAATATAAACTGAACTATTAATATTCAGAAAATAAGATTTTTCTAACAGAAAAATATCTCCATCAGCCTTCCAAGTTCAGTTTATACCGATCTGAAGTGTCTTTTATGCAATGATATTTAACATAAAATATTTAAGACTGTTTTAAAAACCATAAATTTTGAGTTATGTTCCAAAAATCATGTGGTTATCTATCATCAGAAATTATGAATGACAACCCTATCAGTTTTTTTGAGAACAATTAGAAACCACAGGACTTGCAAGAAGATTTTACCGAGTCATTATGTCATTTGCATTCTTAACATCTAAAACATTATTTTGAATTGTCCCTTCGTATGACACTCAGGAGGATTTTAGGTTCCGAGGCAATCAGTGGGTGAGCGGTATATCTTTATTTTCTAATGGGAGAGGTCAGAGCTTATGAAGAGGAGATGAGAAAGGAGATGGCACGTTGCCTCCATTACAAGTATGTATTCAGGCAGAAAATTTTAGGAAAGCATACATACGGAAGTTGAGGAAGGAGAAGCTGAGTTCCTGAAAACTATCTGGGTCTACCTGGACCTTGTAAAATCTTTGCATGTCACCAGAGGTACTTATACACAAGTCTGAAGACCACTGTTTGATGGTAAAGGTACTATCAAAGTATAGCAACAGGTGGGCAGCTAGAGCTCTGTTAAGCGGAAAAATCTCTATTCTCATATGGCTGACATGTTGTTAAACCAAAATTCAAAACAGATCCCAGAGTGAAAACATCTTCTGCATTAGACTGCTTACTTGAGGAAATAAATTATTAATTTAAAAAGTTTACCCTAGCACTTTAAATTCTATTGTTTGGGGTTTTATACCAATATATCTCAATAGGACTGCTAGATATTCATTTTAAAGAACATGAAGCACTATTCTAAAAGTTTATATCTGTAAACGAAACAAAGATCTCTGCTCTTGTAGAACTTAATTCTAGTGGGAAAAAAGTATTAAAAAATAAAAATAACATCAACATAAATTATATGGTAAATCAGAAGATGCTGGCTGCTATAGGAGAAAGATCAGAGGAGGGCTAGAGAGATCAGGAGTGCAGGGCAGGTAGGTGCAGACTGCAGTACTGAACAGGGCGGTCAGGACAGGCCCCACTGTGGAGGGAAGATTTTAGTGAAAACTTGAAGGAGGTCAGGGACTCAACCAACTAGATAAATGAGGAAAGAGTGGCTCAGAGAGAGCTGTTAAAAGGCTGTGAGAAGAGAGCAGCCTGTCAGACAAGCGCAAAGACCTGCAAGGAGGCCAATGTGGCTGGCATGGAGTGAGCAAGGGGGAAGGCCAGAGAAAAGCAGAAGGCCGCTGGTGCAGCCACTGTGGAGAACAGCATGGAGGTTTCCTAAAAATCAAAAATAGAGCTGCCATATGATCCAGCAGTCCCACTCCTGGGCACATACCTGGAAAAGATGAAAACTCTAGTTCAAAAAGATACACACACCCCACTGTTCATAGCAGCACTATTTATAATAGTCAGCTCATGGAAGCAAACGAAGTGTCCATCGACAGATGAATGGATAAAGAAGATGTGGTGTGTATATACAATGGAATATTACTCAGCCATAAAAAAGAGTGAAATCATGCCATTTGCAGCGACATGGACGGACCTAAAGATTATCACACTAAGTAAATCAGAGAAAGACAAATATTTTATGATATTACTTATACGTGGAATCTAAAAAGATAGTACAAATGAACTTATTTACAAAACAGAAATAGACTCACAGACATAGAAAACAAACTTATAGTTACCAAAGGAAAAAGGGTGGGGGTATAAATTAGGAATTTGAGATTAACAGATACACACTACTACATATAAAAGATAAATAACAAGGACCAACTGTTGTACAAGGAACTACTGTTGTACAACAAGGAACTATACTCAGTATCCTGTAATAACCTATAAAGCAAAAGAATCTGAGAAAGGATATATATACACATATATGTATGTATGTATGTGTATATATATATATATATATATATATATATATATATATATATATGGTATAACTGAATCACTCTGCTGTACACCTGAAACACTGAAAATCAACTATACTTCAATTTAAAAAAAAAAAAAAATAGAAGGCCAGTTCAGCCAGGCCACATGGGGCTGTGGAAGCCTTGGTAAGGAATTTGGATTTTACACTCAGTGAAATATAAAGTTCTGAAAAGAATAGTGAAATGGTTTGATCTTGTGTGTTGAAAGAATTACCGTGGCTATGGTAATAGGATAACATATAGGGCCACAAGGGTAGAAACGGGATGACCTGTTAGGAGGTGAACCCAAGATTCCAACAAGGCTTTGTGGTGGCTTCACCCAGGGTGGGAGCAATGGAGACAGTGACAAGCAGTTAGAGGCTGGATGTATTCTGAAGGTACAGTGAACAAGATTTCTTGATGAACTGGACATGGATAACGAGAGAAGTCAAGGATGACTCCAAGGTTTCTCAACTGAGAAAACAGAAGGACAGAGCCGTCATCAACTGAGATGGAGAAAGCTGCGGCGGGGGACAGGTTGGAAGGAAAGAAAAGCAGTTGAGTACTAGACATGGTAAGTTTGAGACATTCAAGTAAAGGTATTAAAAAGGCAACTTTTATATTAACCTAGTTTACATGAGAGGTCTCTGCTGGAGATACAAACTCGAAACTGTCAGCACACAGCTGGTATTCAAAGCCGTGGGACTGGCTGAGATCACTGAGTGAACGTAGATGAAGGGAAGGAGACCATCAGGAGGTTGGGGAGAAAAGGAGCCAGCAAAGGAAGCACAGAGGAATTTGTGAGGCAGGGAAGAAACCAAGTGTGGCATCCCCAAAGGCAAGCGTGAAAGACATTACAGAGGAGTCTCAAAGCCAGTGGTAGGTCAAACAAGATGCACAACATTGGCGACCTTGAAAGCATTCTCGGTGGAGGGGTGAGGGTGAGAGCCTGGCTGGGGTGGGTGTAAGAGACTGAAGAGAAAAACTAGAGATAAAACTGTTGGCAACTCTCTGCAAGTTTTGCTGCAAAACGAAGTGAAAACCTACGGTTGGAGGTGATGGGGAAAGTAAGGTAAAAAAATTTGTTAAGGTTTTCTTTAGTTTATTTTTGTTTTTTAAGGTGGGAGCAGTGTTTACATGCTGATGAACTGTTCATTTGTTTTTGCGTGTTTGTATACTGATGGTAAAAAGTGTATGAGAGGGAGGGCAGAACTCGTGGAACTTTAGCACTTAGCACGCAAGAGGGGGCCAGGTCTACTATGGTAATGGGATTGGCTTGTGTATGTGACAAATTTTTTAATGGTAACAGTCCAGAAGACAAAGTGTACAATATTCAAGTGGTGGTGTGAGTATGCAAGTGTGTGAAATTTGTTTTCAAAATAAGCCATTCTATTATCTGCCACTATTACGTAGGGATTATATAGGTATCTATAGACTTAATCACAAGGTCTTCTTCCCTCACTACCAAAAACTATGGCAGTGTCTTCCTTTGGTAAGTGCATTACTACTGGTAATGTAATTTAATAGGTCTCTATATGCTGTTGAGACCTTGGCACACTCTGGTTATATACAGGCTTTGTGCCTATAATATGCCAGCTAGTCAGGTCTCTAAGGCAAGGTAGTTAAAAGGACAGGGAAAGGGAAGACTCAAAGAAAGTAAGTTAAGAAAACTTTCTGGATGAGCGCCGAGTCCCCTCATCAAGTACTGGCTTGGCCAAAAAGTTCATTCGGGTTTTTCCGTAACAGAAAATACAAGGGAAAAGGGGGACTTTGTCAGGTGTATCTACAACCTGCTTACTAGAACCCCATTACTACTCTGGAAACTTCCAAATATATGAGAATCCCATAAACCATGAAGAAATACATAAAGTGTAAAGTATTATTAATAGTGATAGTAATAAAAAGCTTACGGGATTCAAGGGATATTATAATTTCAGTAATGGATTTAAACGTTAATACTGGGTTAAGAAGATCTCTTTCAGGACTAAAACTGCTCTCTTTCTGTGCTCTTGGCATGTGGTTCCTCCCCTCCCCCGATAATCAAAACCTACTTTAGGTTTCTTAAATTAAAACTCCACTGTATCTTCCTAACACTACAGAATTGTCTAATTAAAAACCAAATCAATATTTCAGTATGTAAAAACCCAAAAGCTCCATACAGACCATAGGATTATCATCAGAAATTTTAAAAAATGAACTGCCAGCTACTATATCCCGAAAAAGATGCTCTATTACTCACTTTTAATCCAGCTGCATAGCCCACTGGTTGTGGGGCAATGCTGGACTGCCCAGCTTCCCCTATCACCACAGCTAAGCCAAAGACCTCCTGGAAGGCATCTCGGACAGCGGCAACTTTTACTTCTTTATTTGAGGTCACTACAATGTCCAGTTCACCTCCAGATTCTACAAAGACCAGAAGAAAATTTCAATTCCAAATTAAAATAATGAAATTCTCATAATTACTACCATGCACTAACATTTTATTACATAATTACTCTTAACCTGGCAAAACAATGCAAGCTATAGATTACCTTTTTATTGGCTGAGGAAACTGAGGCTGATCAGGTCTCACCCAAGGTAACACAGCTACTTAGCAATGATGTCAGGACTCAGATCTAGGTCTGTATCTTTTCACTACACTGCCTGATGCAAGCAGACACATTTCACCCTGTCATCTAATGGCATCTTACTCTGAGATTTCTCAAGAAAGCTGTTTGTACTGTGAAATATTTTGCCCTAGAAACAATGCTTTTCCTCAGTTAAGTATCTTTTGGAACAGCTGAAAATATTTTCCAAATATCTGGGCTTTTTAATATGGATTTCTTTTTTCCTGATTGAAACAATGTTCCACAGATCCCATCTTTACTGGAATTTCTTAAATTACTGAAACCTAAAAGCAAGGGTTACCATAGGAAAGAAGAGGAAGACTATATGTTTTTCTTTTTTTTTTTTCTCCACATGGGACATATCTCTTAACGCATCTAGCTAAGTACTGTTCCATTAGGCTTCAGCTCAAAAAGCTTTTCGGTTTTTTGTGATGACTCATGCCACTTTTAATGATTATAAAGGGAGAGCTAATCAAAAAAATGTTGAAACTGTGTCAAAGTCCATTTCTAATAGTTCTTGTGCTTTCTTGATACATTTGAAATTGTTATGGTGATTTCTAAAATATTTATATAAAAACATGGTAAGTTTTACTAGAGTTTTGTTAGATCCAAATGGTCTCGTTTTTGCTGCCTGTCAATAGCTTTTTCACACTCAGTATTACTGCTTTTTATAGGTGATGAAGATTATATGTTATTATATCTTCTAATAATAGAAATTTTATTTTGTATCTTTCTCTCCCCGTTTTATTTTCCTTTTTCTGGAGGTCATGCAGAGTACTGGCCTGGGAAAAGTCTTTGGTTTGAGTCCTGATTTTATCACTTACTAGCTTCGGTACCTTGGGGAAGTCACTGAGCTTGTTTCCTCACAGAAAAGTTCCTGCCACCTCACAGGAACTTAAATAAGGTAATTGATTTCACCATCTAACACAGTACCCATTAAAACAACAAGAGCTCCAAAAATACTAATTCCTTTCTTTTTCTCACTAAAAATAAGAGCTTGTGAAGAGAAGAAAATATATACTGCATTAATTATGTCAAACTTGATTATTATGAATATATGAAATCAGTATATATGGTAGGGCCCAATTTCTAAACCCTGGCAATTACAAACACAGAACAATTCAGCTGAGTTAATTCTTTGATTCAATTTTCCACTTAAAGGGAAGCAAAGAAGCTAAGTGTTAGCTCCACCACGTTGTGTAACCTAGGATAATAATAAAGCTCTCTGAACACAAGGTCCTCATCTAAAACTTAAGAAAAATAACACCTAGCTTGCAGAGCTCTTATGGGAATTAGTATCTGGCAGATCAAGCATTTAATAAATGGTGCTTATCATTATTAGGTCTTGCCCTTTGACATTTACTAGACAATTACCAACAGACTCAAGACTTATGAAAGCTACTGACTTTTTATTGCTACTGAAAATCTCTGTTCAAGTACCTGGTGCATAGCTTTGGCCACTAAATTGTTATCTTCAACAGAATTACTAATAATTGGTCACAAATCCTGCTAAAAGATTATGTTATTTCACTTACTGGATATGTACATAAAAAATTAATCCTCCAGTTAACCGTCTGGAGGATTCTTGGTAATGAGGGTTCAAAGGTGATTACAGTAGCTTTCCCAACAAATCTAGTAATGACATATTATTAGTAAATAGATTAACAGCCTATAAAAATTTTATTCCTGAGTTACACATAAACACATTTAATTAAAATAGATAACTGGAGAAATGTCAAAACCAAATATGAACAAAGCAACACTTCAAATGTCAGCAATGAATGGTAAAATTCATATAAAGCAACACTAACCATATTCATAATTAAAATCAGTAAGTATACTAATAATTCAAATCATTTTTACTCCTCCAAAGTTCATTCTGGGAAGTTTTCAAAATTTATTTAATGGTGACTAAGAAAAAGATGAATTAAAAGTATCAAAACCAAGACTGACAATCAATGTGAGAATATAGGAGGATTTTCACTAATTACAAGACCTGTGGGATTACACTCAGTGGCTGACATGAGCACATACTTTATATGGCAGATGCTGCTCTATTTTATGTACATACTGATATATGGAGCCATGCCAGGGTCCAGCGTTGTAATCATACTTTCTACTGAATGTTTTGTTTTATCAAGCACAGATTTCACCATAGGGTTCCCAGCCACACCCTGTACAGAACAAATTCACATGTAAATACTCATTCTAAGCAAAGAACACCATGATTACCGGATGGTGAGGAAAAAAAAAATTTTTTTTTAAGTTTTCAATGCATTGCAGACCTATACTTTTGTCAAATATAAGAAAACTAAGGTTATGGCAATGTCAAATTGCTATGAAATTTCAAAATGCTTCCTCTCAATTTCTCTTCTCATCTCATCATAGATTGACAGCAATCTACTGACCCCACTTCGAGCAACACTGGCCTGGGAAGTATGTTTACTGCATATATATGTATGTGTGTATGTATATATGTTTATTTCATTTCTATGTATACCTATATTTTTATTTCATTTCATTACTATTTATTTATCTATATAAAAGACTAGGCAAAACTCGTCCATCAAGGTCCCAAATAAAGACTTCAACTGGATGTCTCTGAAGACTCATATTTTGTTCCCTAATATAAAAATAAAAACAGTAAAAACATTTCTTATCTTTATTTCCCAGAGTTACTTATTACCTTAATATAAAATACTCTGTTCTATGAAAGTTTCTTTTTTCCTACTTCCTATTTGTTTTGTTCCCAAATTCTCCCTTTTAATAAAGCCAGACCTAGTCCTCTGAATTCCTAAAACCACACTATTAGACAGAAGGAACCAGATCTGAGTATTTCCTTCCATCTATGCTTCTTCCACAGTCAAAGAGACTTAGAGATGGCATCTGGCTAACAGGCCATGATTCCACCTGTCCCAACCTACTACTAAACTAAGGAGATTCAGAAAAACAGATGAGTTCATAACACTGATATTTAAGACTGTCCACCCATCTTATGCTGAATATTAGAAGAGTTATTTACAAGATCTGTAGGGTTGAACTGAGTATTACAACTGGTAACAGACATGCTGACACATGCTCTTAACGAGGAAAAGAAGTGACAGTCTCTACATAAAGAAGACCTTTAAAAAGCACAAAGTGATATAAAGAAGCAAGCTTAGAAAAATGCCATCTTTCTGATACATAAAACTCAAACGCTGTAAATCAGTTTAACCAGCTACCAATTTAAAAATATGTTTAACATGTAATTAAATTGCAGCCAAACCCTCAGAATATTGAGGGGAACTTGACAAAGCGATTCTAAAATTCATTAAGAAAAATAAATAGAAAAGACCAGCAAAGAAAAATTTTGAAAACAGCAAACTTACACAACCAAATGCTGATCTGCCTTTATGAATGCAGAGACTCAGAACTGACTTTTCTATCTGACTCATCTATGAATACTCTTCATCCCCACCTCAGCACAGAGTAGGCTTTCAATAAATATTGGTGTAATAAATAAACAGTTACAATAATTAAAATAGTGTGGTACTGTTGCAAGGACAGGCAAAGCAGTGAAATAAAATACAGAGTGCAGAAACTGAGGTTAACACACAATTTAGTAACTAAGGTAAAGGTAACATATCAAATCACTGGGATATGATTTTGGAACAGTCGATTAAGTGGTTGGAAAAAAATTAAGTTTGATTTCTACCTCATATAATATAGTAAAGTAAGTATCAGCTATATCAACTTCGTAAGTAAAAAAAATGAAACCACAAGAAAATTAGAAGAAATCATAAAAAAATAATTATCATATAATACAGTAGGTAAATGTGATTTTTAACATTTAAAAAAAATGAAAAAAAAATTGACAGAGATGACTCCCCAAAATTAAAAGGCTTTGTGTCAATAAAGCATAATAAAGTTGAATGTAAGATAAAAATGGAGGCTACTGCAACATATGATAGCATATAATAAAATATTCTTCTTACATTAAGTTCTTATCAATTCATTAAAAAAGAAAATCATCCCAATTCAAAACTGAGCAAAGAACATGAATACAGACTTCACAAAATAAAAATACAAATGGCCAAAAATCACATTAAATAAAGTTCAAATTGAGTAACAAAGAAATGCAAATTTAAACAAGGTATTATTTTTTTGCCTATCAAATTAGAAAATACTACATTTCAATTAATAAAATCACTGCTGGCAAATGAATGATGTTATGACAGTGTATCTTGGTATAACCTTCCTGGAGAGCAATATGTATCAGTAATTTTTAAAATGTCCACACTGACATTTACCAAGAATTAACTCTGATAAAACAGAGATGCACATGAAGATTGGCATACAAGAGTGCTCATCACAATTTAATTAATAAGAATTACAATTAGAAAATGCCAATAACAGGTAAGTGAAATAAAACATGGGAAATAAATGCAATGACATGTTGGGCAAAGTAGCCTGAAGAATTATAGCTGGGAAGATATTCATGATACACGCTAGGTAGACAAACAAAAGACACAAAATTGTGTCCATGTGTCACTACTCCAGTTTGCTTTTCACTAAAAAAGAGATACATTTACATAGATATGCGCATCCAAAAGACAGAGGAACTATAGAAAAAGTGTAATAAGAATAAAAGGTATTTTAATTTGTCCTTACACCTCTTTGTATTTTCAAAATTCTCTCTAATGAATATCTGTTAGTTTTATAATTAAAAAATTAAACGTGATTTTTAAAGTAAACACCCCTTACTTTAATAAAACCCCAGAGTCCACCAGCAGATGCTTCATCCTGCCCTCTACCAATTCTAGGATCTTCTTGCTGCTCTGGAAAAGTTATGGCTGATGCGGTTCCAGTTCCCTGTGCCAGAGACGTCAAACCAGCTTGCTGAGTAATGGGAGTTGGCAGAATACCTAGTTAATGGCAAAAATGTTTACATATATAATTTATTCCATAAACTATTTCCTATAAAAAGATACAACATATGAGATGAGTAGTTCAAAACAGCTTTAATAATGTAACTATATACTCAGGCATTTCAACACTGAGATATGAGCTCAAAGAATCACCTAAACCTTTATAAAATATACAAAATTCCAAAAAAAATAAAATAAAATAAAACAAAATAAAATAAAATATACAAAATTCCAAAGAAGAAATTTCTTTCCCTCTTCATAAGCTTACACCAAGTGCCCTGAAAACGGACAGAAAATATACATCCAAAAGTACTTCATGTTTGCCCTATGAGCACTTGGATGCAGACAGCTACAGTTTGAATCTCTTTAAAGCATAAAAATAGCTGATATGAGCACTCAAGCCCATCATACAAAAAGCATGTAAAAATTAGTAAACATATCCACATACCCTATTTTAACTCAAAAAAAAATTCACATACACATGGGTGTCATACTTGTACTCTCGAAAAATTTTTATTTGTTAAGGTAGACAAGCCAAGTTGGATTATAAAATCACAACAAAATTGTTTCTTTTCCTAAAATGAGAAACAATAGACAGAATATGACAGGATGAAGTTTTGATATTGATTTCCAATAACCATTCCTGGGAAGTCGAAAAAGTATGTGTAACTGACGTAGAAAATAAAATAGTCCAATTCCACCAACTCATGGCACATACACTTATTTGTTTTTGAACTTTTACCTGGCTAAATAAAACTACTCCCTGGACCATTCAGTCCTAATAATTTTTTAAGTAAAGCTTTTAAAAAAACTCTCAGACTTCACCTTGATGTTTCTCTATAACTGCACAAAATGTTAGGACAAAAGTTTCAAATTCTGTCTGACATTCCACATACTAATCATGTACTAAGTTTTATATCATATAAAAATCATATATTAAGTAACATCAGCTTTATTTTAATAATTTAAATGAAAACAGGAAGCTCTGGAGATCAAGGAAAAGGGAATGAAACATTCATGCACAGTAACAGGACCCCTCATACACTGCTGGTGAGAAAGTAAAATGGTGCAGCTGCTTTGGAAAATAGTCTGGTAGTTGTTCAAAAGTCAGCAATTCTGACATGCACCCCAGTGTTCACAGCACAGCACTATTTACAACAGCCAAGACATGAAAGCAACCTGAATGTCCATCGACAAATGAATGGAGATATATATATATATATATATATATATATATACACACATATACAATGGAACGTTACTCAGCCATAAAAAAGAATGAAATACTGCCATTTGCAGCAACATGGATGTACCTAGAGATTATCATACTAAGTGAAGTAAGTCAGACAAAGACAAGTATCATATGGTATCACTTATATGTGGAATCTAAAAAATGGTGCAAATGAACTTATTTACAAAACAGAAATAGACTCACAGACATACAAAAAAAACCTTATGGTTATCAAAGGAGAAGGAGGTGGGTAAATTAGGAGTTTGGGATTAACAGATACACACTACTATATATAAAACAGATAAACAACAAGGACCTACTGTATAGCACACGGAACTCTACTCAAAATCTTGTAATAACCTATAATGGAAAAGAATCTGAAAAAGAATATAGATATATGTATAACTGAATAACTATGCTGTACACCTGAAACTAACACAATGTTATAAAGCAACTATACTTCAGTTAAAAAAAAAAAACCCTCCAGGAAAAAAAAAGTCAGCAATTCTGCACCTAGGTATAAACCCAAGAGAAATGAAAACATGTTCACATAAAACCTTGCACACAAAGGTTCATAGAATCAGTATTCACAATAGGCAAAAAGTGCAAACAACCCAACAGTTTATCAACTGATGAAATGCATAAACACAACGTGGTACATCCATACAATGGAATATTATTCAGTCTTAGAAGGGAAGTTCTGACACATGCTACAACATGGATGAATCTTGAAAATATTACACTAAGTCACAAAAGACACATATTATGAGTCCATTTATATGAACTGTTCAAAATAAGCAAATTCATAGAAACAGAAAGTAGATTAGTGGTTCTGAGGGCCATGAGGATTGGGAGGAAGTAGGGAGTGACAGCTAACAGGTATGGGGTTTCTTTGGGGCTGATTAAAAGGTTCTAAAATTGATTTTGGTGATGGCTGCACAACTCGATAAACACAGTAACAACTATTAAACTGTACACATGAAAGGGTTGAATTGTATGTGAATTATACCTTAATAAAGCTGTTTTAAAAAAAAATAAAACATTCACCATAACCACTTGTTTCAAAGTATCAGTGAGAGAGAGAATTACCTGTCACCGGAGGTGCAGAAAAAGACGGCATCAGGGGTGTCTGGGGAGCTCTTCCTGCATGTCCTCGTGTAATGTCATAGGCTGAGCCGACAGAGAATCCTGATGTAGGAGGACCCGAAGCAGGGGCAGATAAGAGAGTGTTTGGGGCAGAAGTGGAAGGTGGGAAGTGGGGTAAAGGAGGGTTACTGAAGGCAGCAGCAGTTGGTGGAGAAACATGAGGTGGTAAAGAGGTAATGAGTGGAGGACCAGAAGGAACCGGTGAAGGAGGCACAAAGGGCAAGGGTGGCGAAGGCCTCACAGGAGGCAGGGACTGCTGAGGGGTGGAGAAAGTGTGTGGCGGCGGGGGCTGCACAGAGGACACGCTTGGAGAAGAGAAAGAGCTGGCCGCAGCTGGAAAAAGGAGGGCAGGAAAAAGTGCGTCAGTGAAATGTTTTTCACTTAGTTTTCAAAGTGTCTCATTACTGTCTTCTTTGAAAATTTTAAAATTTAACAGACCCTATCCCAAGAGTTATTTTTAAATGTGTGATGTGAAATATTTGACTATGACTGAGTGCAAATGACTTTCAACTCCCATCAGTAAAAGCAGCAGATATGTAAAATTAAGTTATTGTATTGCAGACCTTTGTGTTTTTGTTTGTTTTGATGTGCTTTTAATAAAATAAAGCCGTTTTTCATCCCTGCTGATATGAGCATAAAACCTCACAATTTAAGGCTCAAACTTTGGTCAGAAGGTTAATCACCACAAAGTCACAGAACATTAGACAAAGCTAACACATACTTTTTAGGATATCTCTGTCATAACAAAGAAGATTTCTAGTCAGTATGAACATAAAAAACGAAAGGATAAAGCAAAACATATATGTTTTCTGTCTTTGGGCTTAAATTAAAAAAGGCTATCTCCCTTCATCCTGGCAAAGATTACAGAATTTTTAATATACAGGCACATCTCATTTTATTTTGCTCCACTTTACAAATTGAAGGGTTGTGGCAACCCTTGTGTGAAGCAAGTCTATCGGCACCATTTTTCCCAACAGCATTTGTTCTTCGTGTCTCTGTGTGACATTTTAGTAACGCTCACATTTCAAACTTTTTCATTATTATTATATTTGTTATGGTGATCTGTGATCTTTGATGTTACTTATGCAAAAAGATGACAACTTGCTAAAAGCTCAGATGATGATCAGCATTTTTAAGCAATACTTTAGCCAAGTTTTTACTTAAGGTACGTACATTCTTTTTTTTGACATAATATATTGCACACTTAACAGACTACAGTATAGTGTAACCATAGTTTTTATATGCACTGGGAAACAAAAAAATTCATGTGACTCACTTTATTCCAATATTCACTTTATTGTACTGGTCTGGAACTGAACTCACAGTATCTCTGAGGTATGCCTCTATGCCTTTTTTTAAATGACTCTGAGAAAAGATAACAGTATCTTGACTAACCTCAAAACATACTGATGCTAGACAACTGCACGTACCTAAAGGGGCTGGGGGAGAAGACGGCTGTGCCGCTGTGGCAGCGACAGTCAGTCCTGCTGAACTTGGTGGAGGAGTCCCAGGTGGTGTTGTCTCTATTCCACTCTCTTCCATCATTTTTCTTCAATTACGGTAAAACTGTAAAAATATAATAAATATTACACAGTAATAAAAACTATATTTTTAAACCTTGTATAGTTAGAGAATAGTTTTTTAAAATAATCGACAGATGTCTGTCTTTACTGTTTATAATGCCACTTATCTCCAGGTGAAGGGTTTGTCAAAATTCCTAATAGTCTGTGAGAATATTTAGCGTGCAAACAATCTGAGACATTTTCACACACCTAATCCATTACTGAGAAATAATTTTACGTTAACTAAGTAATTAATTACCCAATATATTTCAAATAGTAAATTAACTTAATTTCTGCCACATGGATGCATGGTAGATTTATATCTAGATTCCAGTCACTATTACTTTTAAAATAAAAATAAGTTATTTAAAGTATTCTTGAAACACTTCCTCTCTCATTAAGCAGTGTATGAGGGCTACTCCTGTTAACAGTAAAAAAAAATTTTTTACTGTGTTCGATTCCCAGGTTTTCTTAATCTACACTCTAAAATGTGCCCCATAATGGCTAAATGATATGTCTTGGGTTTTAGAAATTTTAACTGTAGCAAAAATGCCACTAGATAGCATTTTGACCTAACAGTCAAAAATGGGTTACAAAATGTGGGAAAACTTCCTTAAAAATTACAAATTTTCAAGCCTGCCTCAAGTATAAAATCAAAACTTCTAAACCTACCAAATTAAGTTTTTGAAGTTTTTACTCATTTAACAAATATTCAGTAACGGTCAACCACTTGCCAAGCACTGTACTGATGCCTCTGGAAATACAGTGTAAGCAAAACAAACGGGATACTTAAAGTCCGGTCCGGGAGACAGTCAAACAATGACAGCAACATAACAATGAACTATAGCCTGAATGATGTGCTCTGAGAGCAAGAACAACTCTGCTCGCTGGGAATACGGTTTTGACTTGCGGACAGAAAAGGGTTCCCCAAGGAAGTCACATATAAGCTGAGATCTGAGGGACGATCAGAATTTAATTAGGCAAGGGAAAGGAGCTAAAGAGGGCACATGCCAGAAAAAGTGAATACAGAGAAGGTATAAAGGCCCTGGAAGGTTGAGGGACACTGACACTTTCAAGAAAACGCATGCAGCAGAAAGGAATAATGAGGACCGGAGACATGGAGAAGAACTCAGACTGCGCTGACACGTCTAAGCCAAATTAAAGAGCTGGGTCTTTTAAGAACAGAAACTCACTGTGGGGCATTCAAACTGGGAATGACACATTGGGTCTTTTCACTTTTTTAAAGAAATTTCAGATTCACAAGAAGATGCCATAATAGAGCAGACTTCACGAGTACCTTAAACCCAGTTTCTGTCCATGATGGCATCCTACGTAACTAGACTACGGTGATAAAAACCCAGGAAATTAACACTGGCACAATGCGAGTAACTGAACTACAGACCTTATTTGGATTTCACCTGTTTTTACATTCGTGTGTGTGTGTGTGTGTGTGTGTGTGTGTGTAGTTCTATGAAGTTTCATCATATGCACTGACTCATGTAGCTACCACCACAATCAGGACACAGAACTGTTCCATCACCCCAACGAAACTCCCACATGCTGCTCCTTGGTCACACCCTCTCATCAACGATAAGCTCTGGCAACCGACTGTTCTCTACCATTTTCTCATTTCATGAATGTTATGTAAATAGAATCATACAGCACACAACTTTCTGAGATTGGCTTTTTTCACTCCACAGAATGCTCTTAAGATCCATCCAAATTGTTGGATATATCAATGGTTGGTTCTTTATTGCTGAAGAGTATTCCATTTTATAGTTGTACCACTGTTTGCTTATCCATTTATTTGTTGAAGGACATTTAGGCTGATTCCAGCTTTTGGCCATTCATATTTGGGTTTTGGAAAAATTCCTCTGACCACAGTATGCAGTTTGTGCCTTAGGGCAGTCAGAGTAGATGCAGAGAGACCATTAAGAAGGATATAGAAGTAGTTCAAATAACGTCCTAGGTTAGTGATTCTCAAATGGGGAGTGGAGGAGGGTGATTCTGCCCCTCTCCCCCCAAGGGTCATTTGGCAATGTCTGGAGACATATTTGCTTGTCAGAACTAGGGGGTACTACTGGTATCTAGTAGGTAAAGGCTGGGGATACTGCTAAAAATCCTACAATGCACAGGATGCCTCCACAAGAAAGAGTTATCTGGCCCCAGACTAAAGTGATGATAGTGGAGATGGAGAGAGTGGATAGACTCAAGAAATGTTTAGGTGGTTAACACTCAGTGACTGACTGGATATGGGGTCCAGGAGGGGGAGAGGCATGACTTGCACAACTGGAGAGACGGTGGTGCCATTCAGTGAGACAGGGATCACTGGAGGAGGTCAAGGTGTATGTCTGACATCCTGGGAGAGGAGGGATTATGCAGTATTTAATACTGGACCTGCTAAGTTCAAGCTCCTTGAAACGTCCAAGTACCGGTGACTTGGTCTGCAGCTCAGCAACCACGTAAATGCGGGCTTCATCAGTTTACTGATAGTCTCTAAAGCCATGTGCTGAAAAGAGATTCTATGAGAAGACCAGGAGAAAAAAGAAGATGGCCCAACGAACCCTTGAGGAAGAGCCCAGGAGGAAAAAAACAGCCTGCAGAGAAGAATGAAAGACCAGAAAGATAGGAAGAAAACCAGGAGGCTGTGGTGTCCAAAAGCCAGAGAAGAGTGTTTCAAGGTAGGAATGGGCAACAGTATCAAATGCTACAGAAAAGACAAATAGGATGATATATGAAAAAGTCAATAGATTTGCCAAACTGGAGATGAAACCTAGTGAGAGCCGTTTCCATAGGAGGAGTGGGGATAGAAGCCAATTTCAGCTGGACTGAGGTGTGAGGTGAAGCAAATGTGTACAACACTTTCAAAAAGTTCTGTTGTGAATGTGGAGGAAAGATCTATGGCAGTAAGTAAAAAACATGTATCCAGGGAAGCAAAATCCTTTCATTCAATACCTACAGACAAAGATAATCAGGGACAGAATGGCCTTCTGGGGACTTTATCACCCCCTGATAAAGCTACCTCTTTTCTTCATCTCATTTTTCTACTGGTTATTCATCTTCCTCCTACAGATGCTACCAATTCTCACAGTAATTAGTAGAAATCATATTTAAAGATAAATATTAATTAATGCATTTGCAAAAGAACCTGTACAATGAATACAACCCATAAAATGGAATAATTGGTCAATTTCTTTCTGTCCTTAAAAGCCACACTATTTGAGAATTGGCTTAATGACAATATTGGGTAAATTTTGGATGCATAAACATACCTTTTACTAAAGAAAAGCTCTTGTGATAAAAGTAACAGCAAAATGTCAGAGTTGGTAAAGGTTCTAGTGCTCATTCTCGACACAAAAAGGATATTAATGTATCAGCATTAAACAAAAAGTGATGGGAAAAAAAGTGATGGAAATGGCTTCGAAAATTGAGTCCTCAGTCTCTGGACCGACCCTGATCTTCCAATTTGCTTGTGTCTTGGTTCTTCAGTTAAAAAAAGTAGGTGGTTACTTATAAAGATACAAGAAAAGGTTTGATAAATGTAAAAGCTTGTTAAAAGCGATTATTATTGTTGATTACCGGTTCAAAAGATAACCTCTACTACCCTTTAGTGAGCACTGCTACAGGAAGGTCTGAGTTTTGTCTCTGCATTCCCACTTCTTATCCCAAAATAACTTCCATAAACGTTCACTGACAAAATAGCAGCTGTACAGGGAAAAGACTGGAATGCCAAAATGCGTCACGTTCGCAGAAATCTACATGTTGTCTCTTAAAATAACTACTTGGAATGACAAAAACTCTCTTGGATTGGACAAATTCTGCCAATCTACAGAACAGGCTATCCGGCAAACTTGCCCGAAGCAGTTCCCAGGAACGAACAAAGAGACAGCACAGTCCAAAAGCCCTCTGGAGCGGCGCTAGGCACCGATGGGGGAACCCACGGGAAAGGAAGCTACATCCCATTGCCCGTCCCCGTTTGCTGACCTAGGAGTCTCCCAGGCGGTAGCGGCCTCTCCCCAAGCTCTGCCACGTCTCCAGGCCGCGCCGGGCCGAGCTAAGGTCAATGGGCTCCTGCCTCCTTATCTCCCCTCCGGCCAGCGCGGTGGAAGGTGGAGCCAAACAACCCGGGGCGCCGGCGCCGGTCCCGGAACTGGAGCAAAGTGCCGGATAAGACCCCCGGGCCGCACCCACCGTGTAAGCCGCGGCGGCAACAGCTTGCCTCTCGAAGCGCACCCTGAACCCTGCATGCACCCACGGCCCGCGCCCGGACTGCACGACGGCGTAACTCCCAAACTACCCTCGCTCTCGGGGCGCCTGCCGGCCCGCCCACCTCGCACCACGGCGCCCCTGGGCACCGGTTTGGGAGCCCGCGTCCCGTCCGGCCGCCCGTATGCACCCGCGTTACTGCCAGGCTGACGCTCACCTGCGGGCCGGAGAGAGTGTCTGCGTGGCAGTGAAAAGCGGGGACGACGGAGGCTGAGCTGTAGGACTACGACTACGAGAAGACGAGCAAGATGCAGGAAACCGCTCGCCGCGCACGCCCCCGCCTCCAAGATGGCCACCGTAGGTGCACTTCCCTGCGCTGCCACGTCGGCCGCGCGCCGCCCCGCCCCGCACCACGCCCCGTCTCGCTCGCCCGGAGCCCCGACCCGTGGCCGCAAATTTAACCTGCTGGAGTACTTGGGGCCAAAGATCCTCCTGCCCGCAGGGGTGGGTGCTGCCCAGCTCTAGGAGCATTCTGCAGCAGAGCTGCCCAACTTTCCACGCCGCAACCTCCGTACGCGAGAACGGAACCCTTGTTACCGGGTGTAGCTCACTTACTCTGTGCCGTGGCCGCCCGCGGGGATGACGATGAACCAGCCCGGGTCGTCCAGTCCAGACCCGCCTCCAGGAAGGACCTTGCTCCGGAAACGAGAGACTTATCCTATGTATTTTCAAAGATTTCCAAATAATAGCGGTTGCATCAAGAAAGAGAGAGAGCACGGTGGCAGCTACCATACTGATTTCCCCCCCAAAGTTCATGTATTACACATTCTTTTTTTTTTAATGGAAAACCAAAGATTATCCACTTTCTTAACCTTACGTGCTGCCCTTAAAACAGTTCCTGAAAGTCGGTGCTCAATAATGTACACTAAATAAATCAATGAAGAGTGCAATGGAGGAATCTAAAGAATTTGCAATCAGAAGTCCTGTTTAGGTCCAGGAGTGCCCTAATGCCACTTGAGCAGTCATGGGACCTTGTATAGGTCACTTATTCTTCCTAAGTCTCAATATTCCATCTGTAAGATAGGAATAATGTTGTTTGCCATCTCTAATCAAGCAGGTAACAGAGTTAAAATAAGACATACGAAAGCACTTTTTAAACTGAGAGGTAAACACATGAAAAACTTGTTTTTATTGTTCCCAAATTCCTTCAGGAACTCATTTGTAGGTTTAGCATTAATATAATATCCCGGACTTGACAGCTGAAAGCATTTACAAATTCCAATACCTCACTGAAACGTTAATACTATTTAACTATGCCCTAATTTCAGACAAAATGACTTGCAGCTGCAGCGGGTTGTTCCCTTTGGCAGTGACTTTTATCCCACCCACTGAGAATGTGTGTAGATGGCTGTCTAGGTTACTCGCCAGAAAGTGCTGTTTGGGTTGGTGTTGAAAATAGTTAGCATCTCTATTCTCTTTGGTCTACACCCTTAATAGCTATAAGAACTGTTCCCTTCTTCATTCATTCAACAAATATTTATTAGTGGCTGCAATGTGCTGAGCATCAGTACTGGAAATGTAGCAATGAACAAGACAGACAAGATCCTTACACTGAGAGGCAGATCTTCTCACAGGAGAGGCAGGCTAATGAGCAGGAAAATAAAAGAACTAAGTACTGTTTGTGATGGGCACTTTGAGGAAAGTCAATAGGGTGATTATTATTGACAGTAATTGGGGTAGGCCACTTTGGATAGGACAGATGTGCAAGGCTTCTCTGAGGAGGTGCGATTTGAGTACAGATCATAAGGAAGCAGCCCTGTGGTTCTCTGAACAGAAGGAAGAGCGTGCAAAGGCTGTGAGGGAGGGTGACTGGCAAACTTGCAGAACAAGAAGGAAATCTGGACTGAGAGGGTGGTAAGAAATGAGGTCAGAGAGATAGCCGGGCCAAATCGTAGCCAGCCTTGTAGGCCATCTTAAGGCCTCCGGGTTATATTGAGAGAAATGAGAAGCAGGTGGAAGGTATTGACCAGAGGAGAGACAAGACTTGACTTCAGTTTTCAATCATATTCTGATTGCTGTGTGGACTGTAGGCAGGTACAAAGACTAAAGCAGAGTGATCATAATGAGATGATGGTGCCTTAGAGGAACTAATGGGATGAGGGCAGAGCGGGTACATGGTGTGGACATATTTTGAAGGTTAAGCTGTCATGATTTACTGATCGATTGGATGTAGCTGTATTAGTTTCCTAAGACTGCCAAAAAAAATTACCACAACTGGTTGGCTAAAAGCAACAGAAATTGGGCTTCCCTGGTGGCACATTGGTTGAGAGTCCGCCTGCCGATGCAGCGGACATGGGTTCGTGCCCCAGTCCAGGAAGATCCCACATGCTGCGGAGCGGCTGGGCCCGTGAGCCATGGCCGCTGGGCCTGCGCGTCCGGAGCCTGTGCTCCACAACGGGAGAGGCCACAACAGTGAGAGGCCCGCGTACCGCAAAAAAAAAAAAAAAAAAAAGCAACAGAAATTTATTCTCACACAGTTCTAGAGACCAGAAGTCCAAACTCAAGGGCCAGCAGGGCCTCTCTGAAGGCTCTAGGACAGCATCCTTCTTTGCCTCTTCTAGCTTCAGGGGAGCCAGATGTTCTTTGGCTTGTGCCAGCCTGACTCCAATTTCTGCCTTTATGTCCACATGGCCTCCTCCCCTGTGTCTCTGTGTCTCAAATCTCCCTCTGCCTTTCTTTTATAAACATGCCTTTCACTGCATTTAGTGCCCACCCTAAATCCACAATAATCTCATCTCAAGATCCTTGAGGATCTAGACCCTATTTCTAAATAAGGGTCTAGATTTCTTCCTATTCACAAGTTCCAGGTGGACGCGTCTTTTTTGTGAAGAACACTGTTCTACCCACTTACGTGGGTCATGAGAAACAGGAGTCAACCAAATAAGCAGGATTATAAAATAGGTTTTGAAGTTAACCTTGAATTGCATTTATAAATTGTTTTACTCATCATGTCTCATTTAAACTTCAAAACAACTTTGTGTGGCAGGTATTATTATTATTCCAATATAAGAAATAAGAAAATTAAGGGTCTGAGAATTGTGTGTAGGCCTGGAATTAGAACCCAGAATTCTTCAGCTATACCCCAGATTCTTGCCTGCTTTTGGGGTGGTGGGGTAAGAAGATATGTTCTTAGACGGAGGGCATTGAGGGGAGTCAATGGAAGATTATAGCTTAATGACAGACCTACTTAGGTTTTTCGGTTTTAGCTAGCAGAACTCATCAAATTTTTTTGTACAGGAAGTCTCTAACACATAATAGAGTTCATTTCTGAGCTACAGTGCTATAGTGGAATTTTGCTTTTATTGCTCAAAACCAGAGGCAAACGAAATTACTTCCCACTTGAGGCTTTTTTCAGCTCAATTTGTAGTTAATAGATCTATTCTTAAATAGTCTTAAAACAGTCCATAAAGTTTGTACTATTCATATGAATAGTGATGTGTTTATCTCCAGGTGGAGAGGAGACCAGGCTGAGGCTCTGAGCATCTGCAGCATAACTGGGACTAGAGGCAGGGCTGAATCTGTTTGAGAGACCATGGGCTCTGCTGAGAGAACAGTCAGTGAGTTATACAATCAGGAAGGACACATCAGCAGATGTGTCAAGGGTACCGGCTCATGCATAGAGATCAGGGGCTCATACCCACATCCAACTCCTGCAAAGAGGAGATGTAAGTTCCTTTGGCACCTAGGAAGGAGGAGGATGGTTGTCCCAAACACTGCATGGGACATACCTGTACTAAGAAATTATTCATTGTTTATCTGGAATTCAACTTTAGGAGGAAAGCAAGCCATGACCAAGAGTCTGAGAGGCGATGTAGTGTAGATTAGGACACAGATATTGATACCAGATGCCCTGGATTTGAATCCTGACTCTACACCTGCTAGGTCAACAGCTAGCCTTGGGCATGTCACTTAAACTCACTGTGTCTTGATTTTTTCAGCTATAGAATGAGAATTATACTAATACTTACCTCATAGTTTTGTTATTGTTGTTTCTTGGTTTTTGTTTTTTTTTAATTTATTTTATTTTTGGCTGTGTAAGTCTTCGTTGCTGCGTGCCGGCTTTCTCTAGTTGTGGCGTGCAGGGGCTACTCTTCGTTGTGGTGTGTGGGCTTCTTATTGCGGTGGCTTCTCTTGTTGCGGAGCAGGGGCTCTAGGTGCCTGGGCTTCAGTAGCTGTGGCTCGCGGGCTCAGTAGCTGTGGCATGTGGGCTCAGTAGTTGTGGTTCTCAGGCTCTGGAGCACAGGCTCAGTAGTTGTGGCACACGGGCTTAGTTACTCTGCGGCATGTGGGATCTTCCCAGACCAGGGATCGAAACCGTGTCTCCTGTATTGGCAGGCGGATTCTTAACCACTGCACCACCAGGGAAGCCCCTTACCTCATAGTTTTTTTATTTGTGGATTGAATAACTGAATATGTGTGAAGTGCTTAGAACAGTGCCTAAATCACAGTATTCTCTAGATAAGTGTGAGAGGTAATAGTCTCTATATATTCTTTGACTTTTAAATAGCCTAAATATTCACCTGACAATGACTGTTTTAAACCAAAAAGATTTTTATTTAGGTGAGTCTGAGTTGTAATTTCCAAATAAAGTTTTTATATGCTTCTTTGTTTGTTTTCAACGACAGAAAATTTAGTTTAGTTTTAAACAGAGTGACTCAACCTCTTGATTTGCCCAGGACATTCCCAATTTACTGCC